TACATACATACATACATACATACATACATACATACATACATACATACATACATACATACATACATACATACATACATACATACATACATACATACATACATACACACACACATACATACATACATTCACTCACACAACTGGACATACATACATACATACATTCACTCACACAACTGGACAAGACAGAACGAAATGGAATAATAGACGGGGAAATTGTTTTATATACATATATATATATATATATATAATATATATATATATATATATATATATATATATATATATATATATATATATATATATATATTTATATATATATATATGTATATATATATATATATATATATAAGCACACGACATTATTGTACACACACAAGTATATATATATTTGTTTGTGTTCACTATGTTTGTGTGCGTGTATATATATATATATATATATATATATATATATATATATATATATATATATATATATATATATATATATATATATATATATATATATATATATATATTTATAATTTTCACTAAATGTGATATATCTAATCCACGATATATATATATATATATATATATATATATATATATATATATATATATATATATATATATATATATATATATATATATATATATATATATTTATATTTATATACATATAATTATACCGGTATGTATCATTGTGTGTGTGTGTGTGTGTGAGTGTGTATGAATGTGTAGAAGATAAAGAAGTAGAAGAAAATAAACAAGAACCAAAAAAAAAAAAAATAATAATTACAGCATAATTTCATGTGAACCTTATTCTAAGAAGAATATAGCAGGTACAGTTCGCTTACAGTCCTTCAAAGAGCTGCCTATATATGTAGAATATGTTGTTGGGCAACGAATAGTTGTTCAGTTTGGACAATGTCATTCCTTTTGGGTTCCGGGGCCTCATTGTCACGGAAACCAGAACTGACCCACTGACCTTCTAAAATAATAAGTAAAAGGCTTCTAATTAAGAATGTTTTCTTCGAAGTAATTTGTATTTGTTAGCTAGCCGGGGAACCAACCTTCTGACGCAAATAAGGCAGATCTGCAATATGGATTGCACGAAAATATCAAGGTTTGGAGCGAGACCAAAATCAGAAGTGGACGAACAACCATGACTTACCGTCAGCGTCTGCAGTCTGTGAACGCTAAGATAAGAAGGACGGCAAAATCAGAGTACGCAAGCTAAATTCGTGTTTGTGTTTGTTACAGGCGAAATGATTGGTCTGCCAAAACAATTCTTACACATCAACGGAGAAGGAGGCGGAGTAATACAGGTGATTTGCATTTATAATTGTTTACAAGTCTTTTATTAACAGTTAACTACCACAATTATTGCATTGTGAGGTCTTGGTCAGAGATGACTGAGCTAATGTATAACAATGCTAACGACGAATGGGCGGGGTATATCAAACTTGACATCCCACATTCTGCCAAAGGCATCAGGCATAGAAGCGCATCAGGAGGGCTACCAGCCTTATCCTTGGAAAAGCAAATGCAGCCTGAGAACTATGCTATAGCAGAGCAAACCAGGCCCGCAGCCTTGGCTGGCCTCTAATCTAGGAGAGCAGCTCCGTCAGGCGGACAGATAAAGCACTGCTCTTCTGATCCGGCAGCTTCTACAGCCTACTTTGTTCTAAGCACATTGGTGTTACCTGTCCTTCGGAGTAAACAAGGCTGGCTGAGTTAATGATTATGATGCATGGGCAACACGTGGTCTCTACAATACTGCTCATGCGAGACGGAAACAATTATTTCAAGACAATAATCCTCATCACCATAGTCCCACAGCACCGCAGGTTGCTGGGTCACCAGGTGTTGTTGACTGTCCCATCAGCTCGTTAACATGTTTAGGTCGGACACAATGGACATGGTGTTTGACGTTTGAGAGTTGTCCTTTCAGACTAATGATGTATCCAGTTCTTTCTTGGTCTGCCTGTCCCCCCGTCCCCATCCCCTCCCCCAACAAAGTCCAAAAGTATCGTTTCAGAGCGGCCAGTAGATATTGTTTCATTTCTGTACCATTTAATTCCTGGCTTTAAATTCTTGTTTAAAAAAAAAAAGTTCACAGTTGCCAAATGTGTTGATATACTAGGATATCTTCCACGTTACCTTTACGTCATTTCCCGATGTTATTGATTATTTGTAATGACACATTTTTAATAGCTCTATTTTCTTAAAACAGAATAGAACAGGCAAAAAGCTGCATTTTATAAAATGAAGAACATCTTGTGCAATATATCTTTGTCATTGAGAGTTAGAAAAAGAATTCTTGCTTGCTGCAAACATCAAGTTTTAACATATGGCTGTTAATCCTGGACAATCCGTAGGCAGGCCAAACAATTTCTTCATGTGTGTAAGGTGGAAGACATCATCATCATCGTCATCACCAACACTCTAGTGTGTATTGTATGTCACACATGGCTCGCCGCCCAGTTCTTCATTCCATTCTATCCTGTGCAATCCGTTTAATATGCGGCGTCCGTGGCTTAGGTGTTGCGAGTCTGACTCGTAACCCAACGTACCGCGATCGAAACCCACTGCGTGCTTACCATGATTTTCATCATGGTATGGGGCGTCGCAGGTCGACCCAGCCTAAAATGGGTACCAGGATGGCTGTCCTGTGAAAGTAAAAACAGCCGGCGTAATGCTGACCACATTACCCACCGAGTGCTGATGGTCTGTAAATTATGGGCGCTCTTCCCATATGCCCGATACGCCTAAAGGCGTGGAAAGGGAAATTTACCTTTTTTTTTTACTTAATCCGTTGAATATCATCAATGAAATCCAGTCCAGAAGCTTTGACCTCTTTCAAAGATCGTTTGCCTTTTGGTTTCTCTTGTGCGTCCTCTTTTGCTTAATCGGTTTGTATTTAATTTCAGTAAGTTAATCGACTGATTAAGATATAGGAAATTGGATAAAGAAATTAACATTAGATGCAGTAAAGCAAACCAAGTATTGTGACAGCTAGCTCCCCTCTTACAGCATAAGACAATCCCAATCAGCACAAAGAGACATCTTATTCAGAACATATTTATTCCAACTCTGTGCTACCAGTGCCAGACATGGTCACTCACAACAAAAGAAAATTATTAACCATGGAAATGAGATGTCTGAGAAGGACTGTGGGGGTGACCATAAGAGATAAGATCAGGAATGAGATCATAGGAGACAAAGTCGGCACAGAACCAATTATAAATTACACACGAAGACAGCAAGTGAAATGGTTTGCCCACTTAGAGAGAATGCCTTGTGACACCATACCATACAAAGCATACATGGAAAGAGAAAAAGGACGTAGAGCACGGGGTAGACCAAGAACAAGATGGGAGGATAACATCAGAGAAACTCTACAAGAGCACGATGTGCCTATGGTCGAGGCAGCCAGAAGAGCTAGAAACAGAACCTTATATCTTCCCCGACACCCACAGCGGTAAAAGAGGAAGTGAAGAAGAATAAGAAGAAGAATCGACAGATTATTCTCATTACACATGAAACAAGTCCATAAGTGCTGGGATCCCATCTTCTGTATGTCCGTCAGCACGTGACGACTGACAACACCAGTTCTGTGTTAGTTTGCCATTCTTCTTTGGCTACCTGTTTAGTGTTCATGTCTGGCAATACTTCTTTATACCTGAATTCTTACAGTCTTATAATTGTTAACCCAACCTCGTCTTCTGAATTGTTTACTCGTTGTATCTCCTTGACAGCATTGAGAATATCGGCCCGATCCATGCTTGTCTTGTACTTACAATCCGCTCATTCATTCCCTTTTACCCCAGAATGCCCTGGCTTTTTATGCATCAGGTTACCACCAAGTGGCCCAGAACCAGCCAGTCTCTCTGCCTCTTCCTTTCCAAGCCCGTCTGCATACTGTGGAGAACATATCCACTGCAGGTACAAGGAAATTTAATAAGAAGGAAAAAGTAATTTACTTGCTTACTTATTAATATGAAATATCTTTTCAAATAGTTATATTAGACGTTTTCAAAATTTCGGACACCTCTAACTAATGTCAACACAATGTCTACTAGGGCTCAGCTAGTGAGAGTGTCCTTGTCGCCCTGCTCTCAGCCAGACACAAGACAATCAAACAGCTGAAAGAGAAACTACCATACATTGACGATGGACAGTTGCTGTCAAAGCTTGTTGGCTACTGTTCGAAACTGGTAAGCGATTTTTCTAAAACTGCCAAATCAATCAGGATAGTAATCGGGGGAGGGGGAGGGAGGGGGAGGAAGGTGAGGGAAAAGGGGGTGGGGTGGGGGTGGGGGGGGGGGACCTAACCTGAATATAGCAGTCCACAGGTCCAAAGGCATTAAACAGGCATCTGAGTTTAAAAATCTTGGAACAACATTTACTGAAATGGGCAATTAAATGAAGAAATTAACATCAGATGCATAATTGTAAGCAAGCATTAGGACAGCTCTTACAGCATAAGACTCGCGATCGGTAAAAAGAAACTCTGACAAAGCCTAAGCAATGCCAGACATAGTCGCAGCAAACTAAAAAAAAAAAAAAAACTATGGAAATGTTTGAGAAGCGCTTTAAGAGTGACCAGAAGATATAAAATCAGGAATGAGGTCATAAGTGAAAAAGTCGCCACAGAACCAATTCTAAAGTTTATAGAAAGACAGCAAATTAAATGGCACCGGAAACAGTACAAGAGGAAGTAAAGACAGCGACAAATGAATCAGGCCATCGACATCTTGCGCTCTTAAGACAACGGATAGCAAGAAGACGGATAGATCCCCTGTCACTTAAACATGTATGTCGTAAAGAGCTACCAGAGCACTCGCATTGGCAGCAAACAAACAGCCACATATGCGGTGATAATATTAAACTCCACGAACATGATTCAGAAAACAGCAACAGGCGGCCTCCACCCTGAATAGACATCATTTGGAAGTCGCACTTAACCTCCTTCACATGGATCGATACATCTGGGCAAGCCGGAGTTAATGGGATTGAAAGTGAGAGTATTGCACCACTGCATGCTAGAAGCTGCATGGTCGAAGAAGATGTAAAACTAGGTTGCCGGATAATGATAAATCTCTGGCGCCTAAAGATTACACGACCTCGGAGTGAACTGAGGCGGAGCAAGCCACTGACGTCTTCTAGTGCAAGATATGAATTTCTTTTTAGGGACAATCAGTAAAGGTACCTTAGGAGTGGCTGCTGCATTTAAAGACTGATTACGCATGGAAATACCCAGTGTGTAGTGATTTCGGTTGTGACGTCATAACATTGTCTGGAATAATTTACTGTACCTTGACAGATGCATAATAATATAAAAAAAATAATGATACATAATAAGGCAGAATAATGTATAATGAGTCACGCAAATGAATCCATAGATTTGTTTTGTACAGGATATTCTGGTGTAGGTGTTCCTGAGCAGACTGACAGATTATCTGCTGCCATCCTCTGGGCCAAAAGGGAAAAAACAGGCTTCAGTTTTAACAGGTTGCAGTTGGTACCATCAGTATGGGAACTCTTTGTTGACCTTTGAGGAAAGGGGCGGAGCGCGTATGGGAATGCCTTGAGTTTAGCAGTGCTAATTCTTGGCTGATTGATTCATTCACTGGCTTTCGTTCATTTTAAAACATTGGACTTTTCGTTGAGTCAGGCCCATTCCTGTGTAGAGAAAGCAGGCATGATTGGCTTTGTCAAGATGAGACAACTCGATGTGGACGAGAACTACTCGCTTCGTGGCCACGTTTTGGAAGATGCTATAGAGGTAGGAGTTGTGGACCTTGGATTGTGAACTCTTGTGGTGTGTCTTTCTTGTAACTATTTTCTCCCTCCCGACTAGCACCTGAAGGTTTGACCACCAAGGTGAGCCGGAATCTTGGAGCTCAAACACATCGGCCTCCCCACCTCCGAAAAGAATTGTTTTTGTTGTTGGTGTTGGGGGGGGGGGGGGGGGGGGGGGGGGGGGGGGGAAGAAGAGGGAGGGGGGTAAAAAGTTATAAATCATGAATGGGTTGAGTGCTACCTCCAATCCTAAACATGTGTAATGTTTTCATTTAAGTAATTGTCTGTCCCTATAATCTTATTTCAAATATTTAATGTTTTTTTATTTGCCTTATTTAAAGTCATCCCCATGTGGAATGCAATTGTTTGTTTGTAGCCCCTCTCTGGCATCTGCAGAGGGTCCTGAATATAGCCGGGGCATAGATTTGGCCTAGCCATAGATATGGCCTAACAGCTGAAAGGGGTTTCTCAGACCTCTTTACGGGTAATCCTCACCCGCATAGTGGCACTTTGTGTCACCAGGTGTTTATCGCTTCTGTGATGTTCTGGTAGGGTACAACTACCTACCTACTTATCTATTAGCTACACAGCGCACATTAATAAAAATATTATAAATAATTATAGTTATTATCACTAATATCGTTATTAACCAGAGGTCGTGGGTTCAAATCACCGTCGAGCCGGAATTGTTTTTGTTTTCAGAAATGATCTTGGCTTCCTGGTCGAGATAACCATAAACGGGTAAAAGGTAAAGTCTGGAGAAGCAAAGGTGGTCGGCGTTATTTTGATTACATCTCTCACTGAGTGTCGATCAGCCTTAAATATATGTCAAGCACTATACCCCCCAATACACCATATATACTACAATATACCATCTATATATACAATATACCATCTATATATACAATATACTACAATATACCATCTATATATACAATATACTATGTACCTAATTTTTCTAGGAAAGACGATGTTAGTGGTGTTAGTGTTTTCATGTTTATAAGATGCATCAACATTTCTAAACATTATCATTCTTATATTTATACGCTCGGCTGCGGATCGGAGGATCCTGGCTTCGGCTTCTGACGTGGACCGGACTTGTTTTAAAAAATCACCTTGGCTATCAGGTCGACCCAGCCTTGAGTGGGTACCAGGTACAGTCCTGGGAAGTAAAGGCGACCGGCGTGATGCTGACCACATCACCCACAGAGTGCCGATTGGTTTATAAAATATAGGTCTAGCGCTATGTACCCAATACGCCTGAAGGCATCGGAAAGGGTTATTTACCTAATTACTTATTCTTATATTTATACAAACTGCTGGCTAATTCTTCACAGGAGGACAAGAAAATGGGTCTGATTCCTTTTTTTGTAAGTATTTCTGTGCAAATAATTCATACATTTCTCATATTTAACTGATTTGCATGTGTTTAGGAATTCTCATCGCTCAGCATCATCATCATTTAGCAGATCATTTACAGTGCATCGCTCTCGTTACGGCACATGTGAAAGTGTCTCATTCTCTAGCCGTTTCTCCAGCCCTCTTCGCTTTCATAAGCCAGTGCATCTTCAGTGTTTTGTATTCGCTTTTGTCTCGCTTTGCGGAAACCGTAAAATCAGTCACCATTATCTCCAGGCCACCTTGACTTTTAACATGGCCAGAATATCCGAGCTTTCGGAGCAGAATGCTGTTTATGAGCCAATTCTCCTTGACGCTCAGCTGATCATGTAGGATGTTGATTTTTTTTTTTTTTTTCGTTTGTTTTTTAATTTCATTATTTTTTAAACTAAAATAATTAAAACTACGAACCTGCCATTACTGCCTATTTTAACCACTTGTGTGTATGCGGGTGGTGGTAGGAGTGTGTGTGGGGGAGGGGGAGGGGATTCAACCAGGCGATTTAGGACCGCAGACTAGTGTAGTCGCCTTAGACAATGCACGGTTACGATTTAATCGTTGCTACTAAAAAGCTTCGTAACCTGACATGGGCTTCAACTCTGGTCCATACTGTTACAAGTTATTTACTAAATTCTAAATTACCGTTATACCCCAAATTAATAGATTCTAAATTCCCTGTGCACCATAAAAACAGTAGATTCTCAATTCCCCTTTTAAACCAAACTACTGGAATCTTAATTCCGAGTCTATCCCTAACTTATTAATTGTAAGTAGGTTTCACAGTTGGGGGATCTTTGCTATTTCAATTGACCATTAGTGTTTTTATGTGAACAATGCCAATGACCCATGACCCCATTATATGGATTTATTTTCATAATGAGTGTAACGAAGCTAAGTTTGGGTCTATTTTATTATACTAGCATCATCGTATGTGTTGTTGTTGTTTGCTGATTAAGGTTTTCTTCCTCTCCATTCTCTGTTTCTCCTCCTTTTCCTCTGCTTCTTCTTCTTCTTCTTCTTCTTCTTCTTCTTCTTCTTCTTCTTCTTCTTCTTCTTCTTCTTCTTCTTCTTCTTCTTCTTCTTCTTCTTCTTCTTCTTCTTCTTCTTCTTTTTCCTCTGCTTCTTCTTCTTCTTCTTCTTCTTCTTCTTCTTCTTCTTCTTCTTCTTCTTCTTCTTCTTCTTCTTCTTCTTCTTCTTCTTCTTCTTCTTCTTCTTCTTCTTCTTCTTCTTCTTCTTCTTCTTCTTCTTCTTCTTCTTTTTCTTCTTCTGCTGCTGCTGCTTCTTTCTCTGCTTTTTTTTTCTTTGTCTTTTTCTTCTGCTTTCATAAGTAAAATGTCGGTTAGCATGTTGTGATTTACAGCTAGCCTGCGATATCTGTTCCTTTCAGTCCAACACAACCAATTTCAGCAAACGCCTAATCAGTAGCCTTTATGACATGCTTGTTACGGCGCAGTAGGATCTATTCTTTGTGGCCCCAGTGAGCCACCGGAACCCACACGGGAATTGAAAGACCTTCGATCTACAACGTGGATTTGCTTTACCTTCGTGATTATGTTTATGCTGGCCAGTTTGACTTTCAGCTCTGGTTGAATGTGTCAGTCAAATGAAAACATGTTGCTAACTATGTTTCGAGAACCGCTGCAGTGTAGCGAGTAGACAGCCTTGAGTGTACATCAGGTGCAGTCTTGGAAAGTAAAGGCAGCTGGCGTGATGCTGATCACATCACTCTCCCAGTGCTGACTGGTCTATAAAATACAGATCTAGCCCTATATGCCAATTACGCCTAAAGGGGTGGAACGGGGTTCTTGACTATGTTTACAACTATATATACTCCTTGTTTTTTTTTTTTGTTTTTTTATCTAGGGATTTTTATTCGACTGTTTTTAATTGCACAAATTCTGAAATACCAATAGAGACATAATATCCAGCAGATTCGATTCGCATAATTGAAACATTGCGGCACACACAACAAGCAGCTGTCAGAGTGGCTAGTGAAATTTCAAACTATTCTGAGGAACAACGGACATATATTAATCTTTGATCTGATTCGAATTAACATAGTAACCTTGCATTAATACTAGAAAGCGTTTAAACAGTGAAGGCGTCCTGTGTGATAATTACCACAGTCAACATTTCTGTAGTATTTTGACAAGATATCATAACCTCCCTTTTACAATAGAACATCGGGAAGAAAGGCCAGAGGAAGACCCAGGAACAAATGGATAGATGTCACTCAAATCACGCGAGAGGCACAAAACAAATATTTTAAACCACGACACTGGGCTGCAACCCGGTAAAAGTGAAGAAGACAATAGATAGATAGATAGATCATAACCTCGATGTGTATAAAATGACAGAAACAGGACTTCATACGTAAACTTAAACTAAGTTTCACACACACACACACACACACACACACACACACACACGCGCAAATAGTGTGTCATCTCCACACTGAAGGTTTGCTACAGTGTAACAAATGCCATATTGAGGGATATAACGCACTGAGGCCCCAATCTCTTCTACGATGTAACTCTCACACTACTATCTTCAAACCGCAAGAATGGTGTTTTTCAATTAACAGTGGTTGACGGGAAAACCGAAAGCATTTATTAACCTCCATGACACAGATAGCACTTTGTAAAGGTTAAACTGTGTCCGACAGGTGTGTGCCACGCTCGGTACCACGGCTTGCTGCTCCTTCGATAGCCTCAGCGAACTGGGTGACGTGGCCAGACGTCAGGGCATTTACCTGCATGTGGATGCGGCGTATGCTGGGAATGCCCTCATCTGCCCCGAGTTTCAGTATCTCAAGGAAGGCGTGCAGGTAAATTCAGTACATTTTCAGCTTGAATAGTAGGCTGACGACAGACAGACAGGTGGTCAGATTATCAGACGGGTAGATAGGCAGATTGACAGGGAGACAGACAGGTGGCCAAATAAGAAGGCAGACACAGACACTGGCAGAAAGAATGAACTGCCTTTATTTCCAAATGCTCACAAATCAGGCAGGTATGCAGTGTTACATTAGACTCTTTCAAACACTTATCTCTCACACGGCAATCGTATTTTATATAGATCAAACATTGAGTGTTCATATATTGAAATTCATAGTATTTATGTAAATAACAAATACAAAAGCATGCATGGCAAATGTAGACAGAAAAACAAACAACCAGACAGACAGCCTGTTTCACTCTATGCATACATTATTCATGCTCATATCGTTTTAGCAGATAATAATAATAATAATAATATTAATAATAATAATAATAATAATAATAATAATATTAATCGACTAATCGACGCAGACAGACAGACGGGCGGAATGATAGATAGATAGATAGATAGATAGATAGATAGATAGATAGATAGATAGATAGATAGATAGATAGATAGATAGATAGATAGATAGATAGATAGATAGATAGATAGATAGATAGATAGATAGATAGATAGATAGATAGATAGATAGATAGATAGATAGATAGATAGATAGATAGATAGATAGATAGATAGATAGATAGATAGACAGATAGATAGATAGACAGATAGACAGATAGACAGATAGACAGATAGACAGATAGACAGATAGATAGATAGATAGATAGATAGATAGATAGATAGATAGATAGATAGATAGATAGATAGATAGATAGATAGATAGATAGATAGATAGATAGATAGATAGATAGATAGATAGATAGATAGATAGATAGATAGATAGATAGATAGATAGATAGATAGATAGATAGATAGATAGATATATTAGTTCACCTTTCCTATTTATCCATCAATCCACTATAAAATTGCCTAAAACTTCACAGAATGCAAATTCCTTGTGTTTCAACACAAACAAATGGCTGCAGGTGAACTTCGATTGCTCACTACTTTGGTAAGATTTGTTCCGTTTCTGTTTATGTGAACTACATTTACCATCACCACCAAAACCATCATCATCATCGTCGTCGTCAGCATCATCATCATCGTCGTCGTTGTCAGTTTCCAATACAGAATAACTACCCGGTTCCTAGTCTCCAGCCATTTTGAGTTCCTGGCGAGAGTCCATATGTTTAAAATAGTCTGCAGCAGCGTCGACACAAAATGAAAACATGAGAACCTTTTCACTTTGTTGATTAAAATGGGATGGGAATATCAGGCCTCACACCCCAAACTGACAGAGCTGTGTGTGTGTGTGTGTGTGTGTGGGGGGGGGGGGGGGGGGGGGGGGGGGGGGGGGCTGAGTCTCCCTGTATTTGATAATGAGGCTAAGAAGCCGCTTTTAACAGTTTATAAACTTTCTTTTAAAAAACATTTTAGTTTGTCGATTTCATATAATTTAATGTAAGTTATTGTGTTTATTTGCCATTGGACACATTACTACTACTACTACTACTACTACTACTACTACTACTACTACTACTACTACTACTACTACTACTACTACTACTACTACTACTACTACTACTACTACTGCTGCTGCTGCTGCTGCTGCTGCTGCTACTACTACTACTACTACTATTGCTGCTACTATTACTACCACTACTACTACTATTATTACTACTACTATTACTACTACTACTACTACTACTACTACTACTACTACTACTACTACTACTACTACTACTACTACTACTACTACTACTACTACTACTACTACTACTACTACTACTACTACTACTACTACTACTACTACTGCTACTGCTGCTGCTGCTGCTGCTGCTACTACTACTACTACTACTACTATTGCTGCTACTATTACTACCACTACTACTACTATTATTACTACTACTATTACTACTACTACTACTACTACTACTACTACTACTACTACTACTACTACTACTACTACTACTACTGCTGCTGCTGCTGCTGCTGCTGCTGCTGCTACTACTACTACTACTACTATTGCTGCTACTATTACTACCACTACTACTACTATTATTACTACTACTATTACTACTACTACTACTACTACTACTACTACTACTACTACTACTACTACTACTACTATTACTACTAAAGCAAATACTATTACAACAACAACTACTACTACGACTACTATCTTTATTATCATCATGACAACTAATGTCACAAATTATAGTCACAATTAGAAGGGAAAAAAAACCACCACACCTAATTCTATACTGAAATAGTGCCAGTGACTACGCCCTTGGTGCCTATTTATATGCCCCTTGGTGCCAGTGTCTACACCCTTACTGCCAGTGTCTATGCCCCTGGTGCCAGTGTTTATACCCCTGGTGCCTGTGTCTATGCCCTTAGTGCCAGTGTCTATGCCCCTCGTACCAGTGTCTATGCCCCTGGTGCCTGTGTCTACGCCCTTGGTGCCTGTGTCTACGCCCCTTGGTGCCAGTGTCTACGCCCTTAGTGCCAGTGTCTATGCTTATGGTGCCAGTGTCCATGCCTTTGGTGCCAGTGTCTATGCCCTTGGTGCCAGTGTCTATGCCCTTGGTGCCATTGTCTATGCCCTTGGTGCCATTGTCTATGCCCTTGGTGCCAGTGTCTATGCCCTTGGTGCCAGTGTCTATGCCAATCGAAGTTTGCTTGATGTGGGGGATGTGGGCATTACCACAACGGTCGGAGAAAAAACACACACACATTACCTGGTCTCATTTTCAGCTAGGCCGACGTAGACTGGAAAGACTATCAGAAACAGAGATACGGAAGAGAGTGTATTATTACATGATGTTTGGCAGCTTTTTACCATGGCATGGGAGCCAGGTCGCACACGAACTAATGAAAAAAAAAAAAAGTTATATGCCGTCTCCATAATGAAGTTTGGCTACAGCATACCACTGTTGCCTTTAGAAATATTAGTTAGTGAGGCCTCAATATCTTCCACAGAACCACTCTAGTGCCATTGTTCCGGAACCACGGGAAATGTTTTTCTTTTATCCGTCCTCGGCGGGGAACGAACCACAGTAGTCGAGTATCATGAAATTGTTAACCAACTGATGCACACTTTTGGAGACCGCAAGTTGTGGAGAGACATGATCGCCCACGCAAGGCACTTGATGATGATTACAGCCTGGGAGAAGACGCCAAACTTAAAATACATCCATTCCTCTAGAGGGATTTGAACACAGAAAGCTTACTAATCACTGATGCGGTGATTCCTGTGCACATTAAGTGTGTCTCTTTAGAATTACTAGGTCTAAGCAGCCTTAATTGGATACCCAAAAAAAATTTCCTGGGGGAAAAAAGGCGGCCGTTGTGACGCTGACTACATCATTAATCGAGTACCGATTAGTTGACAAAACCATGGTTCTGGCGCATAAATTCGAAGCCATGAAATGGGTCTTAAAAACAATGCCTGCAATTAACGCCTTACGGAAACAACTTCCATTAGTATTCTGTGGTGGCTGGTGTTTGTTTTTCCACCAGATACACTGACAGCTGCTTGTTGTTTTTAATACAGTACTTGGATTAATTTGATGGAATGTACTGTCACTGTACTAGCAATGAAGACTGTCTGACAGCAGACAAGAGAAGAACGGCAATAGCAATACAATTAAAAGTCTATGGTTAAGCACCAGCAAGGAAATTAGAGTTAAATAGAATGAAAATAGTGGCTTTTGAGCTGAAATGGTATAGAGAGATTCTTAGAATACCATAGACAAAGGAAAGAAGAAATAATGACATTTTAAAAGATCAAAGAAAGATTTGCTGATAAACAGCATCTTGTCTTGAAAGCTGAACTATTTTGGTCGTATCAAGCGCCATTGCGGATAAGCGGGGTGGGGGATGGGGAACAGAGCGGACGGCATGGTACCAGGAAGGAGGCCAGAGGCCGACCAACACGAAGATGGGCGCAGGATATAAGTGTCTCCTTGAACATGAAAGAGCATGAGATGATAGAGCTAACGAGAAATCGAGTTTCTTTCAGGCAGACCGCAATGAGATAGACATTCTGCAAAGGACCTGCTGCATGATGATAATGTTCTATCACTACATGCACTTTCATGTGTATCGTATGCTGATAAAGGTTTTCGAGCCACAACATTCATTTTGTCGTTGGTGGTTGTATTATTGTCAAGCTAACTAGTTCTACCTGTAGTTTGAATTGCTTTTTTGTCATGAAGCTATACATGTTATCATATCTGAAAGTATAACTGCATGCTATGAACCTCCTCCACTAGGGTCCGCAGTGTTGATGATCTGACAACTGCCCTCACCGTAGACCCACTTTACTTACAACACAAGCACGGAGACAAGGCAATAGATTTGAGAGTAAGTCCATTAGATCCTGATCCTCTAAAGAAGATGTTAGTAGACCATTTCTACTCTATGTACTTAAAAAGCACTGCTTCACAGTCACTCAACTCCGTGTGTTCCCAGTGACCTTGTCAGAACCAAAACGTTAACAAGAAGTCAAGGACACTTTTCATGCTAGTAGTCCATCCGGTACTTGATGCCAGGGTGAGTCCGGTTTTCACCGGGACAGCGCAGTTTTTTGGGGGCGATGTGCCCCAGCTGTCTTGTCGGCACTCAAAAAAAAAAAAAAAAATGCAAATTCTGCCGTTGTATAGACATATGGGAATAAGCAAGAATAGTTTTATATATATATATATATATATATATATATATATATATATATATATATATATATATATATATATATTTAGAAGGAAGCAGTCATCATTTTTCGGCCATGTTATGAGAAGAGGCAAAATAGAACATGTTGTGACCACTGGAAAGATCTGTGGAAGGAGGGATAGAGGAAGACAACGAGAGAAGATTCTTGACAGTCTTGTTGCATGGCATGGGGTGTGTCGGCACACGAACTGATACATGCTGCAGGAGATCGTGGATAATGGGGAGACATGATCGCCCACGCCAGTCGGCAAGGCACATAATATATATATATATATATATATATATATATATATATATATATATATATATATATATATATACACACATATATATATATATATATATATATATATATATATATACACATATATATATATATATATATATATATATATATATATATATATATATATATATATATATATATACACACATATATATATATATATATATATATATATATATATATATATATATATATATATATATGTATACATACACACACACACACACACACTAACAAGCATAAACCATTTCTATATTTTGTGTGTACATTATGAATCAACCTTTACTCCTCCTAGAACTTTATCAATACACGGACTAAATGTTTAGTTGCTATTATGGCTACAATGTTTCATTTAACAGTCACATTGGCCGTCAGGTTACTCTGCATTTCTTGTATTTCTTGCTACAATCACTTAAAAATAAACTTTTGCTGGAGTTATATCCCCCTAGTGGATGTCACAAGACGGAAGACACATGTTGTACTCGCTCTTCCATGGAGTTTCTATTACATATACGGCAGCAGTGGAGATTATGATCAGAATAAAACGTTATTCACTATACTAGGTGAAGCGGGTTAATTAAATCTAGTATATATATATATATATATATATATATATATATATATATATATATATATATATATATATATATATATATATATATTCCATTTAATAGTTATAAAAACTTTAAATGCTTTAAATGTATTCACTCGAATTTTCTTTGTAACATTTTTTTTTGTTCCATTGCCTTTTAAGAACATATTGTTTTGTTTATTTCGAGTTTTATTGCTACTGACGAACGAACCGTTCACTCCTCACCAAACCTATCTTCTGGCTCATGTATGCATGACTGCTTTCTCCAACACTGTTTTTCAGCTCATGCTGTCTCATCCCTCTATGCCAGTGGTTCTCAACCTGCTGGTCGCGACCCTTTCATATGGGTCGCCTGAGACCATCGGAAAACAAATATTCATTGACGTTATGAAGGACAATAATTGACTGAGGGTCGGGGCATTAGAAAGATTGAGAGCCACTGCTCTATGCCATGATAGATGGCTGACGAGTTTCCTGACCTAGACCTAGCTGTTTCCACTGGAACTCCTGTGCCCTACACCACTCTAACAAACTGTATCACAGCCAGTTAAGAAAGCTTTTAGACAGGCCCCAGTCATTACACTCTGGTTAACAGTTACATACTTAAATAAAATGTTTCTACATCCATAGCACTGGGGTATACCTCTGAGCCGGCGATTTCGTGCACTGAAACTCTGGTTTGTGCTTCGAACATACGGCATCGAGGGACTGCAGAAACGCATCAGGGAGGTATGTTTAAATGGATTAATATTTGGCTTTTGCTGGACCTGATCCATACAATGTTAGACCCATATTTAAAAAAAAATGTTTTACACCAGTCGGTACTCGATGGGTGGTGTGGTTAGCACCTCTGTACTTCCCATAACATTACATAAAACACATATTAAACTTGGTCGACCTGGGAGCCCACGTCAGTTTTGGAGTGGGAGAAATCCACCTCCATGCAAATTTAAACCTTAGACCAGCAGGCCGGTACAACACTTCGCTACCACTGACCTCAGTCCTCGAGTTTTATCAGCGTCTAAAATAGTTGGTGACCGTTTTGTCAATTTTTATTTAAAGGTATAGGGCATATAAATCACTGAAAAGTTCTTCCAGTATTTTTTCTCGGAGACTATTATGGGAAACATAATAGATCCATTGTATCTTTACTTAAAATTTAAGGCAACCTGGAGATATAACCATGATGAAAATTTGGGTGCTATACTTTCAAAGTGGCAATATACACAGGGCTGGTTACTATTGCGAAAGCCAGTTATCTTTAGTATTATCATACCAAACGTTACAGTTGAGAGAATATTGAGGGAAATCAATGGTTAAAATCATTCACACATCAGGCGTTAATTGTGACTGAAAGATTTTAAAAAAAAGTAAAGTAAAGATCCCTTTTCACGCCTTTCGGCGCATCGGGCATATGGGCAGAGCGTCCCATATTTTTACAGACTATCCACTGTGGGTAATGTGGTCAGCATTACGCCGGCTGTCTTTACTTTCCCAGGACAGCCCATCCTGGTACCCATTTTAGGCTGGGTCGACCTGCGACGTCCCATACCACGACAAAAATCCACGCAGCCTGCAGTGGGTTTCGATCGCGGTTTGCTGGCTCACGAGTCGGACTCGCAACGCCTTAGCCACGGACGCCGCCGACTGAAAGATTTAATACACTAATAATAAACGGCGACTAAATACCGGTTTTCTGAAATCTAATTTGTTTTGGCCAAAATGAGCTGATATCGAAGCCTAACTGTAAATCACGAAACAACGCTGGTCTATAGCCATTTTAAGGGCGATCACAGAAGACCCAGCAGCAGCAATTTAAAATGATGACGATGATAACTGCGATGTTTAGCAATTAACGTGTGCAGCATGTTTGTGTTTGCAGCACTGCAGACTTGCCAAGCTGATGGAGTCCAAGATTCTGGGAGATGAACGTTTTGAGGTTCTTGGTGACGTCACCATGGGGCTTGTTTGCTTTCGTCTGATTGTAAGTGTGAACTGCCTTTCTCGTGAAACTACCTATGAGACAGAATTAGGCACATAGCAGGCAAACTACATTGACTTTATTTATATTCTTCATATATTCTACATTAATATACTGTGTGCATTTTCTGTATTTATATTTAACACTAATGTTTACATTTATAGTATACATTTATTTTTTAGATCCCGGAAAGGCTAACCCGGTCCACAGAAGTTGGATGTGCCTACCGCAAGGTGCAAATATCGCAGCTATGCTGTAAACGGGCACCACGCAATTACATCTCTGGATGAACGCAGAAAAAGAATATTCTAGATCAGTGGGGGGGGGGGGGTCTTACAAAATACTCAAGGGGACGTTGGGGTCTTGCTATATACTCAAGGGAACGTTGGGGTCTTGCTATATACTCAAGGGGACGTTGGGGTCTTGCTATATACTCAAGGGGACGTTGGGGTCTTGCTATATACTCAAGGGGACGTTGGGTCTTGCTATATACTCAAGGGGACATTGGGGTCTTGCTATATACTCAAGGGGACGTTAGGGTCTTGCTATATACTCAAGGGAACGTTGGGGTCTTGCTATATACTCAAGGGGACGTTGGGGTCTTGCTATATACTCAAGGGGACGTTAGGGTCTTGCTAAATACTCAAGGGGACGTTGGGGTCTTGCTATTTACTCAAGGGGACGTTGGGGTCTTGCAATATACTCAAGGGGACGTTGGGGTCTTGCTATATACTCAAGGGGACGTTGGGGTCTTGCTATATACTCAAGGGGACGTTGGGGTCTTGCTATATACTCAAGGGAACGTTGGGGTCTTGCTATATACTCAAGAGGACGTTGGGGTCTTGCTGTATACTCAAGGGGACGTTGGGGTCTTGCTATATACTCAAGGGGACGTTGGGGTCTTGCTAAATACTCAAGGGGACATTGGGGTCTTGCTATAAACTCAAGGGGACGTTGGGGTCTTGCTATATACTCAAGGGGATGTTGGGGTCTTGCTATGTACTCAAGGGGACATTGGGGTCTTGCTATGTACTCAAGGGGACATTGGGTTCTTGCTATGTACTCAAGGTGGAAGTTACCAGGGAAAAAATGTTGGCGACCACAGTTCTAGCTGTATGTTCTACGTACATATCTTTACATTTGACTTCTTTAATCGTCTTCAGTGACACCTGTGAGGTTTGACTTCCGGTCAAAATAACTGACTGCTGGCTGACGCTCTGAAACCATTTTTGTTTCCAGCTAGATTTTGCTGATACCAGCTCCCCATTTCTAGACCGGAAATCCACATATTTCGTCGCCCAGCTACTGAACTGAGTGCTTCGTGTAACACTGTGAGCTGGGGATTTTGTGTGGAAGGTTTTCCTGTTCCGCCAGCGGAATATTGTAGTGCAATGCTGACCGTGGTAATTTATCGTTTGGGCCAACAGTGAGCTGCAATTCTGGCGTGGGGCCGATAGCATTGGCACATCATCAACTGTCTTATGTATTCTTAGTTTGTGCGTACAAGTCTTAAAATTTTGCCGAGACTGACAGTAAGTTTTCCTACTAGTTTTCAAATTGGTCGGCGAATGACGTTCGGTGTGATTTCCACTCGTTCAAGGCGGAGCGGTTATGTGACATTCCAACTGTAGTGAAATTAGAACCTCGACTAACGACCTGTGAGATGCTTGCTTGTCGCCAACTGAACCACACGAAAGCGAGTAACAGTATGAGAAAGAATATGGGAACAACACCTTCGACATATTCATTACCATACAGATCTTTAGAATGCAGCCACAACAACTACCATTACAGGTGCAATAGATCTGAAGTGAATTCAAGAAAGTGTGAAAGAAGAATATACACTGACGACAGTAACGGCATTATGCATCCACACGGAATGACAATGGGAAATGCCCAGACTATCAAGCTATGGGCCGTACTGTAGCTTCATTGGCAAAAGTAGATTAATTATAAAGATGATGATGGGGCTTTGATTATGATGGTAATGATGATGAGGAAGATGACGATGATTGTCTTGCCTCGTTTGCAGGGTCCGAACACGTTAACACAGAAGCTACTGAAGCTGATCAACGATGGAGGGCTGCTTCACATGGTCCCAGCCATGCTCAACGAGCATTACATCATAAGGTATGTTCACTAACCGTCTGACCTCTTCCGGCTTCTACCTAAACATTTCAACACTTTCGCGACAAGAAGATTAGCATCTTGCATGCCAGTCCAGTAGGACAATCTCAGATGCCCCATTCAACCTGCTAAAAGTTATAATTAGGAATTATGGTGGCAGATATCACAGCCTAACTGTAAACCCCAACATAACATGCAACCGCTATTTTAAGGGCGAATGCGGAAGAAGAAGTAGGCATACAGAAAAATGCTTAAAATTCCTAGGGCAGCCAGAAATAAAAATGTTAATTTTGAGAAGATAAAACGAAGACAACATATAAACATAAAAATGTGGCGGTCGTCAATTTTTGGGTTACACTGTAAGAAGAGGAAACTGGGGCATGCGAGAACAGGGAAGCTTTATAAAAAGAAGGAGAAAGAATGGACGAGTAGATTCTAGACAGCCTTTGTCTCGGATCACTTTTGCATTTGACGTCTATGAAGGGTTCCAGAATAGACAGGCAACTATGGCAGTCGTAGTGGATCTCGAGGATGCTTGTAAGAGAGTAAGAAAGATAACGACATCTTGATGACTGCACTGAAGGAGAAGAAGGTCAGTGCATGGGTGGTGAATTAGTATGGTAGTAATTTTGTTATAATTTACCACGGCTCACAGTCGACTCGGGGTAAATGAGTATCAAGTAGTCTCACGGGAAGCAAAAGTGGTGACGGTGTCATTGATGCCTTATCTATTAATTATTCCATTAATGATTGTTTTTTTTTTTTTTTAGGAATCAAGGGGATAAATGAGGTGCAATCAACCGATCCTCTGGAATTTAACTTTTGTTGTCTGTGTTCCCCTTGTGGGTTTTTAAAAAGAATTAATAGATCCATTGCCCCTTAACAAGCATGTCATAACAAGCATTCCCGGCACGGTAACAATAGCTTTCGATTTTTATGTTGTCTAGTGTATTCTTCTATCTTTGTACTTCTTCCTATGAGTGCCTATCAATACACTTTTTGTTGCTTGATAATTTCATAATGTCATAAAAGACCAATAATTTGGGATTTTTCATTCGAAGTGTGAGTACATCTGCATAAAAGGCGAGGAACGAACATCGATAACAAAATAAGCCAGATTTCTACAACAGTTATACACAAAACTCAAGACCAAAGTCTAGAAGTGGACGAACAGCCAAAACATTTTGCCGGAATTTACAGCCCATAAACGCGAAAAATATAAATTTGTTCTTTTTTCTGTCCGTGTAGACATGTGAGTATAATGTTCTATACATGATAGGTTTGCGCTCTGCACGGAACATGCTTGTGACGAGGACATCATGTTCGCCTGGAAAGTCATCTCATCGACAGCCACTGACCTACTGCACAGAAGATTGTGTGTGGACAGCAACAAAGTGGACACCTGTAAGTATTCAAGGTTTCTTTAACAAGCGGAAGACAGAAAAAGATGGCGGATTTGTGGGGCTAGTGCTTCTATCCATTCAACTCCACGATCCCAGCGGACCAAGAGCTACCTAATCGTGGTTTAAAAAATCTCAATCCAAGATTGCACCAGATTTGATCCCATATGGCTCGGTCTCTCTCTGCAGAACGGCAAGCCGTCTGACGAGAGCATGGGATAAAGCACGAATTCCCTAGTTCCATCAAATTAGGGGGGGGGGGGGAAACTTGGGTTTTTAGTCTATCCACATTTCAAATGCTACTGCGTGATGTAGAGCCATACACCTCACTAGATATGGATAGATATGAGAGAACTGAAAGAGGTATTAAAAGACGAATGCAAAAGTCAAGAGCAGCTTTCCCATCACTAGGAAATTTGGGGTGGCCAAAAGAAATTAGAACTAGTACTAAACTTAAATTGTTTATTTTTAATGTCAAATAAGTATTGTTGTGTGGGGCGGAAACACGGAGAACAACTAACGCAATTACAAGGCATAGAAAAAAAGACCCCTCCCCCCAAAAAAACAACGGAAAAGGGGGGTAGAGAGTTACGTTAACAAGATAGGGAGGATCTAGGTAGAGCTGCATGCAATAGTGAAGGATAGAGCGACAAGGCATGAGTTGGTTGAGGGCCTATGCTCTATTAGGGGATATATATGGCAAAATAAAACGAAGAATACGTCGAGGAACTGTGTGATGATAAGAGACCAGAAGCAGATTTGCATGACAAAACTAAAGGGTCAGCAGTGCTGACTGCAGGAGTTGAGGATGCATTATATTAAACAAAGAAATGAATCGCACCTGTTCAATACAACATCACATTGAAAGCAATTAAAACACTGGAAATCTCTGTAATTGAAATAACAACACAGCTGCAAATGATATTTATACAAATCGGTACGTTTATACTTGGACATTAACAAAAGAACACGAGAGAAGACTAACCACCTGTGAAATGAGATGTTTGAGAATGGCTGCGAATAAAGGAAATGCTAAAAACGATTGTGGTAGAAAGTAATAAAATGAGGGCCTCTGCTTGAGTAATGGGAAGTCAGATGTAAAGACTATATCAAAGAAAAGAACATCGGCTCAATGTATAATGACAGTAAAATATATAACTTTAAGACAAGTACAGAAATTTAAGTACCTAGGCACACTGATAACATCCGACGGAAGATGTATCACAGAGATAAGGAAGAGAAAAGGACAGACTTAAACTGAATTTCATCAAATAAAGAACATATTATGCAATAAATCCATGTCGCTGAAGATAAGGAAACACATTCTAGCATGCCATAAAGAGCCAGATTTAACATGTGGCTGTAGTTTTACAGAAAAGTCCTTTAGGAATTCCATGGAAAGCGTTAAAAGAGAAACGGATGTTTTGAAAGAGGCAAGGGTTAGAAGACAACAAATCACAATTATTAGAAAGAGACAATCGATATTGTTTGTTGATGTTATGAGAAGGAAACTGGAGCATGCTGCGATCACTAGAAATATCAGTGGGGGGAAAAGGACAGAAGAAGACAACGAGAAACGATTCTCGACAGCTGTTTATCATGACATGCATGGGTGTCAGCACACAAAGTGATGCAATGCATGCTGTTAAAGACAGCAGACAAGGAAAAGCATGGTCGCCCACGTCCGTTGGCAAGACACTTGATGGTGATGATGGCAATGTGAAACAATGCATTGTTACACGTTTCTACACAATACACAAGTAGGAACACTTTTTGAAGCTATCTCTCGTGTGTGTGCGCGTGTGTGCGCGTGTGTGCATCTATTTGTGTGTGTATAATGTATGTATGTACGAGAATTTTTATATGCATAGATCATCATCAACATGTAGCATGTCCTTTGCAGAACGTCGCTCTCATTGAGGTGTGCCTGAAAGAAACTCGGTCTCTCGCCAGCTCTCTCGTCTCATGCACTTTCAGACTCAAGGAGTCACTTATATCCTGTGCCCATCTTCGAGTTGGCCAGGCCCTGCCCCTTCTTCCTGGTAGCATGCCTTCTGCTATTATTTTTCCAATCCGTCATGGCGCTTGATCTGACCAAAATATTTCAGCTTTCGAGACAAGATGCTGTTTATTAGCCAATCTTCCTTGATGTTCAGATCTTTCAAGATGTCAGTATTTGTCCTCTTTTATGCATATATATATATATATATATATATATATATATATATATATATATATATATATATATATATATATATATAATATATATATATATACACATAATATATCTATAGTAATTTGACTGGAAATGAGTTAACATCGAGGTGAACTGGCTCATAAACAGCATTCTGTCCCGAAAGTTTAAGTATTTTGGCCATATCGAACGTCATGGTGGCTTGGAAAAGACGGTGAAGGAGGGTGCAGTTTGTGAGAGGCGAGGCAGGGGTCGACCACCGCATAGATGGATACAGGACATTAAAGATGCATTGGCATTGAAAGAACATTGGGCCAGAGAACTGGCGAAGGAAAGAGATACTTTCAGGTGTGTCGTGAAGAGAGCAAGATTCTGTAAAGCACTTGCTGATTAATGATGAACTTGACTAGGTCAGATTTTGTCTCGATTGATTTCAGATGCCGACGAGGACGCATTTGCTGCCTTCGACGACAAGATTATATTTGATAACCAGAGGCAGCATCTTCAAAGAGCGCAGGTATTTTACGTGTCTGTCATCTGCACCAGAATCTAGAGGCACAGGCATCTTAAGTCCTTCCCCCCGCCCCTAGATATATTTTTAGTGCTGGGAGTGTGGGGGAGAGGGGGGGGGGGAGGAGGAGAGGTTGTATGGTGATAATCAACATTGTTTTCTTGACCTTTGTCAATTCTATCCTCGCGCGCACACACACGTACGCACACTCAAGCACACACATTGGTAGAGAGATAGATGGTATGCCCTTTCAAATTTGCAAACGGATCCTTGGTTGAACTAAACTCATATTTAGAAAAACATTACACTGTGAATGATGTTATGTCATGTTGAAGCTACATCATCAACTCCACCATCTCCTTCACACACAAACACACACACATTCACGCAATTGATCAGAAGATGATAACGATAGATAATGATGATGATGCAGAGGAGAAGAGGGTGGTGAAAGAGGAGAAAAATTTTGAGGTGGAGAAGGAAGAGGGAGACGAAGAAGAAGAAGAAGGAGAAGAAGAAGAAGAAGAAGAAGAAGAAGAAGAAGAAGAAGAAGAAGAAGAAGAAGAAGAAGAAGAAGAAGAAGAAGAAGAAGAAGAAGAAGAAGAAGAAGAAGAAGAAGAAGAAGAAGAAGAAGAAGAAGAAGAAGAAGAAGAAGAAGAAGAAGAAGAAGAAGAAGAAGAAGAAGAAGAAGAAGAAAGAAGAAGAAGAAGAAGGAGACGAAGAAGGAGACGAAGAAGGAGACGAAGAAGAAGAAGAAGAAGAAGAAGAAGAAGAAGAAGAAGAAGAAGAAGAAGAAGAAGAAGAAGAAGAAGAAGAAGAAGAAGAAGAAGAAGAAGAAGAAGAAGAAGAAGAAGAAGAAGAAGAAGAAGAAGAAGAAGAAGAAGAAAAAGAAGAAGTGATATTTTTTTTTTATCTTCCACTAATAGGACATTTGTTATGACTTCCATGTGCTGTTCTTTATTTAACCGTTTCTGAAGGACATTTATCATGTCTTCCATGTGCTGTTTTTTATTTAACTGTTACTGAAGGACATTTATCATGTCTTCCATGTGCTGTTTTTTTATTTAACTGTTACTGAAGGACATTTATCATGTCTTCTATGTGCTGTTCTTTATTTATATTGTATTAATAGGACATTTATCTTGTCTTACATGTGCTGTTCTTTATTTATCTGTTACTAAAGAGCATTTATCATGTCTTCCAGATGCTGTTTTTTAAAATCTGTTACTGATATGGCACCTGTCTTCCAAATGATGGATCTGTTACTGCTAGGACCTTTTTTTAATCTTTACAGTGGTGATCTTTATTTATATGACACAGATGTGCCTTCTATCATATCTTGCAGGTGATGAGAAGCCTATTTTTCAAAATGGTCTCCGACCCAAAGTGCTACAACCCGCGAGTGCTGAGATCTCTGAGTCGCCAGGTGCCAGTCTCAGGCAGGAACGCAGAAAACCAGACCCCACAACACGAGGACAACATGTATGAAAACACCGATTCTGAGACGGACGAGGAAGACCAACTGAAGGATCGCCAAGATGAAAAAGGCAATAAGATAACAAATGATAAGAATGCAGAGGATGGAGGCCACTATGGGTACACTGGAAGTAACCTGGATATGGATCGTGGCAAGAAAAATGTTCACTTTCAGGAAGACGCACAAAACGTGAATGTTGAGACGCAGGAGAAGGAAACAGCACTGTATCCCTCAAATCTAGCACCAGATGAACATGTCAATAACATTGAAAAAATCGATGACAGATTTGTCGGTTACGCCAATAAAAACGGCAATGTGCGAACAAGCGGTACAAGCGGTAAAGATAGGCGGAGACTCCTGAGCCGTTGCAAAACACATGATATTGATGATCTGGATGAGAGAGTCCTGGGGCTCCTACTCGGAGATTCCCCGGCTAAAGAAGACGCAAAGATCATTCTAGAGCGAGCGCCCGCTTGTAGCGCTGCAATCTAGATGACAAACATTGTTCAAAAATAAGAAGAAAGGGTTTGCTAAGGTAATTTGTATTGCTGCTACTGATGTTTTTATTGCAAATAATATTATTTGCATGACAACTACTGTTATTTTATTACAAATACTGTCTTTTCTGATTATAGATAGTGCATTTTTTAAAATACTAAATTATGTTATGTATGCTTTATTATATATATATACCTCATTACAATTTTTTTTTACAAATACTGCTAACAAAGCAATATTTCCCCGTTATGAATTTGAACAACAACAACAGAAAAAAAATGGTTTTCACCTTGCGGTTACTGTAGTATGCACCTAATGAGATACAACGAAATATTCCAGGCAATAAAAGACACAAACAATTGATTGCACAACTTATTGCCTGATATATTTCCCTGTATCTCATCAGGTGCGCTACTACAACTATCCAACTTAAATGCGAATAGTTTCTTTCGATGTTTAGTGTTTGTCTAGTCGTCGAAAGTTCACTGTAGTCTGGTGACTTACTAAGAAAAAATTTACTATAAATTCCGTCTATGGTCTTTGCTGTCATTCAAACAACTAATGATAATTCTATAGTTTCTTTATAAGATGAGAGGAAACATACTGAGTGAATAATGGCTGATACTGTCGGTTTCTTGAGAGGTTTTCCCTATACACTTCTAGTCTTCACATTTGCATTGACCAATCAGCACTCGATATCACTATGGCCACCTTTAGCTCCATAAGTTTGGCCATTTTAGCAACGCTGCCTTGGAAGACCAGGTCAACTGCAAGTTTCCCAGTTTTCAAGAGAATTCAGTCACATGAACACTGGTCGGCCACGCACTATCCTACCGAGAAAAGATATAAAAACCGAACGGAAAGTATATCATATCCGACTAAAACTGGCAGGTAGTTAGTTAATGACAGTTCCAACTTCACGGCAAATAGGTCACACGATAATTGCAGTCCCGCCAAAACCAACCCAGCTGTTTGTTAGTTAGCTAGTTAGTTAGTTAGTTAGTTAGTTAGTTAGTTAGCTAGTTAGCTAGTCAGCTATCTAGTTAGTTAATTGGGTTATCATCATTACACTCTGAACATGTCCATAGGTGCTCAGATCCTCCCCTCAGTATGAACCCCAACATCCGATGGCTAATAGCACCAGTTCTATGTTGATTAACAAGTCCTCTGATGTGCCTGGTGTGCGTCTCGTTTTTTGCTATGCTGATCTTAACTCCCAAGTCAATAATTCTGGCAAAAACCCAACAGCATAGTCAGTCATTAAATTCACAAGGCGGATGTCAGAAGTGCCAACACAACGAAGTCCACTTCTAGAATGACAGTTCATAGTCGATAGATAGAGCAGTTACAACGAATCAGCAGTTGCACACTCAATATTATATTAAACACATCAATTTTGTGACACCATCAATTTTGTGGCAACAGGCCACCAGCAATATCTGAACCTGCTGTTCTCAACACAAATCACCGGTGGGCCCATGAGAAAGGATTCCACACAAAAATCCTCAACACACAGTTTGGCACTCTGCACTAACGTGATATGATCACACACATTATTTTGTCACATTCAAGTATCAACTTGTATTTATTTTTTTTTTTTTCAGATGCGTGGGCCAAAAAAACTAATTCTGGTGAAAGGGACAATTTAATGAGCCTGTTTGTCTTTTCATTTGTTCTAGTAAGGAGATAGCTGACTGCATAAATCTGATATGATTTGTAAATTTAGCAGCAAAGCTCTTTACAATCTTTTAGAAAATAGAAAAGTTGTTCTAGTAAAATCAGTTGTTTTTGGTAATGTGTAGCCTATATGTGCACAAAAAGAATACTGACTGAAAAATTTGTATATTGATTGTTTAAGAGAAATGCGCTTACACCCATAATTTTTTTTCTCCCGTTGGTTATTTTTGTTGTAGCGATATATTTGTTTTAAGTGCACGGAATGGATTAAAGGTGAAAGGATAAAGCTAGATACCATATGACTCATATTTGTAGGGTTTATCTCTGTTGTGTATAATATAAAGACGGCGTCCGTGGCTCAGGTGTTGCGAGACCGACTCGTAATTACAATGTACCGCGATCGAGACCAGTTGCTGGCTGCTTGGATATTTTATCATGGTATGGGGCGTCGCAGGTCAACCCAGCCTAAAATGGGTACAAGGATTACAGTGGAACCTCACTTAATGGGCATAATTCGTTCCAGAATCATACTCGTTAAGCGAAACACTCGTTATGCGAAACAATTTTTCTCATATAAATTATAGTAAAATACGATAATGCGTTCCATGTCGAAAAAATACTCACAAAATGCTATGTATAACGTTTATTCAAAGATAATTATATACACATTGTTAAGGAGAGTGAATCATCTTCATCTTCTCTTCAAATGTGGAACGAACCCACCTGGAATGCGAATTCGAACTGCAGACAAAAAAGTCCAAATAATTATAATACATAGCTAATTATTATTTTTTTTTTTTTACTAGAATGATGTCCAGGGACATTTGTTTTTGCCGACGCTTCAAAATTTGGCGAAAATTCATCAAATAAATTTACAAAGCGCATAGCCACTTCCTTATTAGGGTGATGCTTCTCAATGTAAGATGCAACAGTTTCCCATGCTTTCAGCATTTCTCTTATTTCGCCAGAAGATTGTTGTTTTTCTGTTACCTCCTCCTCCGACAAACTTTCCTCCAAAACTTCTTGCTATGAAACACAATGCAACTCGATAAGCTCTTGGTTAGTCAGCATTTGGCTGTGCTCTTCCACAAGCTCTTCGATATCACTGGTATCCACCTTTAATCCCATGATAGTGGCCAAAGACACAATCTAGTTGACTACAGGTTCCACAGGTACTGTCTCGAACGCCTCAAAGTTACAAATCGACAACGCTCTCCGGCCAAAGCTTCTTCCAAAGAAAAGTTAGGGTTTTCTTGGTAACCACTCTCCCTGCCTAGTCGATCATTTTGAGACAGGCAACGTTGTGGAAGTGATTTTTCCAAAACTCTTTGAGACTGAGGTTGGTCCCTTCAGTCACCTGAAAACAATGCTCGAAGAGTGCTTTAGTGTAGAGCTTCTTAAAGTTAGAAATAACTTGCTGATCCATGGGCTGGACTAACGGAGTGGTGTTGGCAGGCAGAAACTGGATCTTGACGAACTTAAATTCTTCAAATAGGTCATCTTGTAGGCCTGGAGTATTCATGTACATATAACACAATATAACACAAGTTTGAGAAAATGTGGGATCACAAGCGACACCGCGATGCTACTGGAACAAGTGCTAAACACAGACTGATGTAACATGCGCACAATCCTGGACTTCCCCTCTCCTCGCCACTCATTATGCAAAACGTCGCTCGTTAAGCAAGTCATTTTTTTTTTACAATTTGTTTTTCTCGTTATGCGAATTACTCGTTATGCGAGGTGCTCGTTAAGCGAGGTTCTACTGTATGTCCTGGGGAAGTAAAGAGGTTCGGCGTATGCTGACCGCATTAGACACCTAGTTCCGATTGGTCTGTAAAAATATGGGTGCTCTTCCCATATGCACAATGCGCCTGAAGGCGTGAAAAGAGATCTTTTTTTTTTAAAATCTTTCATTTGTTGTGTGGTAACTCATCTTAGCATGCAAGTATTCCAGAGGTCAGAAGGTTGTTCTTAGGGTTCCTCAAAATTACAACTCGATGAAGTCAACAACAACAACAGCAACAACAAACGTATTTTTCAAGTATTGAAGCTTTTTGAGTATACGGCTAGCTTCCTATAATTATAGACCCACAAAAAATCAATGACATAGTCAACACCACGCCAGCCATCTTTACTTTCCATAACATTTCCTGATAGCCAGGGGCTCACTGACCCTTCCCCCCCCCCCAAAAAAAAAAAAATACATGAGAGGGAGAAAAAGGGGAGGGCGGAGAGTAAGCTCCTTACAGTTGTCTAAGTTGACCGGGGGAGGGGGTGTGGCTGGGTGTAGGAGGGGCCTTCAGAGTCACAATAGCAGATGAATGGTAAATAAATATGATAACATATTTGAAATATGACATTTTAAAACAAATACTCGACAAGAGAACTATACATGGTTGGGGAGGGTTGCTTAGCCCGCCTTTATATTTCCTTGGCAAGGGCCTGGAAGGAGGGGGGGGGGGGGCGGTGTTAGAGCTTCCGGGTTCCAATGTCCCAGCTCACACCCTGGTTGGATAGGGCTGACTAAGGAACTAAGGATGCGTCTCCAAACCAGTGCACAGTGAAAACCCAATCATTGCTGAACTGGAGTGAATTGAAATGATGAGGGCAAAAACAATCACATTGCACTATTTAATGTCTGGCATATTTCACAGTGGCGAATCGTGGGACAGTTGGCCGATGTCGTTATCACGTATGATGAAATAACCGCTTTCACTATGAGAAAGGATTTCCTGTATCAAAAAAAAAAAAAAAAAAAGACAATTTACCTTCTTTGGTCGCAATACGAGATTAAAAAAAAAACAACCTTGAGTATGTCGGTGCGGTGGACAATTTTGAGGTTTAAATGAAATAGAGGCGAACATAGAGAAAAGTTGCTGTACAGTTTGATATTTTGACGCCGCCTCTGTCAGAAATTATTCAAAACTCACGAAACAGAAGGCCGTGCATTGACAAAAATAACAACGCCACACGCCATAGACTATAAGAAAACGAAATTTCACCACATCTCTTTTGAGGCATTACTTCAGAATGTAACCCAACTTTCTCGGTCTTTGGGCTAAGTTCAAAAGGTCAGATCGGTCTCTAAAGTATTTCAGTAAAGGTCCCTTGTTAATTAAGCCAGTACCGCATCAGGCGTAGGGTGCTGAACTCACATTATTATTAACTAATCGGCACTCTACGAATGATGTGGTCAATATCCCGCCGGTCGACTTCACTTCTCAGGACATTTCCCCGTTCGCATATTATCCAGTCACTAAATGAAAAATGGATCATTAGAGAGAGAACGACCTTTGTAGTTCATGTTGACTTTGTGTCTGATACGTGTCCTTAACGTCGGTAGGACCCTAGGTCAACGTTTGCTGGGAAACATTAGGACCTAAAAAATGGCTATCCAGGATCAGAGCAACATCCTTCAAGTTGATTTGTTTTGCTTAACTTGTCCCAGACTGGATTTGGATTCAATAATTTTTAAGAACCTCTAGACAACTTTATATAATTAAACATGACAAATCCTTATTTCTCAGACAGTATAATGGAACCCTGATCTGTGTTACTGTTCACTGAACTGCTATCTCTCAGGTTGTATCATGGATCCCTGATCTATGTTACTGTTCACTGAACTGCTATCTCTCAGACTGTATCATGGAACCCTGATCTCTGTTACTGTTCACTGAACTGCTATCTCTCAGACTGTATCATGGATCCCTGATCTCTGTTACTGTTCCCTGAACTGCTATCTCTCAGACTGTATCATGTAACCCTGATCTATGTTACTGTTCACTGAACTGCTATCTCTCAGGCTGTATCATGGATCCCTGATCTTCCGTTACTGTTCACTGAACTGCTATCTCTCAGACTGTATCATGGATCCCTGATCTTCCGTTACTGTTCACTGGCCACCCCTAGGATTGCGACGTCACCTGCACTCGTAGGTTACATGTCACTCGCAGTTACCAACTGGAAACAGACGAAAAATTACAGAGATGAACGAAAGCAGGAGAAAACATTATGTATTTTTTTTAAGATATATTTAAAAACACACACGCATATATATATATATATATATATATATATATATATATATATATATATATATATATATATATATATATATATATATATATATTCTTTTATTTTATTTCGCCAGTCTCTGCTTTGTATTGTTGGGTTACATATTTTAACACATAACAGGTAGCCAAGCCCAGGTATGCTAAGATGTAAAGTCTTATGCTTTCGGTTAGTTCATTAGTCCATTTTCTTCTAGATCTTTCTCAGTTCTTAGGACGTTTCTTTTTTCATTTTGTAGGCTTTCGCTGCCGGTATCGTTGGGTTCATTCTCCCCAGGAGGCCCACATATCTCAGTCTTTGTTTTCCGTAACAGACGTGTATTGTCACCAATATACATGGCATAATAAATCTGTTTGGAATGTTTTAAATAAATAATAGAACGACAGATGTCTCTGCAGTCTTTGTTTTGCTTTTATAAGGTTTTTATTAAATTCATTTTTGTTCCTGATTTTTGTGTGTGTGTCTGGTACACAGTTTGCAACATATTTGTACACTATAATAAGCTATTGAGCTCAAATTGTAAACACACACACACACACACACACACACACACACACACACACACATATATATATATATATATATATATATATATATATATATATATACTCACACCCACACACACACACATAAACACATAGTTTGTGCTGAGAATGCATTTGGTGCACAAATAGGACGAGGTAAAACACACACACACACACACAAAAGAAAACTGCTACAACAGATCTGAAAAAACAAAAGGAAGGTGGTTTGGGGTAGGGCTGCTCAGACTGGGTACACTACGATATTTACTGGAGGATATTCAAAGTGCAATGAGAATGTTGTGTCGACTCATTGACTGACAGACTACTACAACGATTGCTGCAGCTGCTACTACAACAACTACTACTGTCTGGCCTTCTTCTTCTTCTTCTTCTTCTTCTTCTTTTCCTTCTTCTTTGCGTTCGGTTTCGTATGCTCAGATCAGACCATCAGATGGGTTCCCTATATGACCTCGCATGTTATTAGAAAGTCCTTCATGGTTCCTCATAGCTTGCTCTTCTGCACACTTTGCTCTTGGGACCAGGTGTCTTTTCGAAGTTGTAGGTAGAGTAGGCAGGTCTGCAGAATCTGCTCAGGTGTTTGAGGTCCTGTTTGGCAGGCACACTGGAAAGGGGGGGGGGGAACTGTGCAATCTTTATTTTATGCACGCGTTAGTTGATCTTGCAGTGTTCTATTCGCAGACGGAAAATTGTTGTGTGTTGCTTTATGTTGAGTTAGATGATAGGGTTTGTGGATGTTTACTGTTAGTTTGTTCTCTCCAAAATTCCTTGAATTTTCCATTGATAAGTGTTCTGATTTCTGGCAATGACAATAGATGGGTGTGTTGTTTCTCCTTTGTTCCATTTAAAGCAAGTCTGTCTCCTCATTTCCTGGTATGCTGCAGTAAGCCGAGATCCACTGGAGAACGATATGATTGTTTTCTGCGAGTCTGTTTAGCTGGCGGGTCATTTCTCTTTTCACGCTGTCTCGTGGATCTCTCTAAGTCGCCGGGGGGACTGACATGCAGTCACAAAGAAAAACAATTTTGCTATTTTAAATTTTTCTTTCCTTAAACATTTTGGCAGAATCAATAATTGCTTGCTGCTCTGCTTTAAAATTTGTTGAGAGTTTTCCGGAGGCGCATGACGTTTCTACTGTGGTCCCAACTTGCAGCATAATGATCGATCTAGCTTCTTCGGGTTGTTTTTTCCCCCCTGCTCCCTCCAATGATCCATCGGTGTATAAGTGTGTCCATTTAGCTACTAGTAGCTAAGATTGAAAAAAAGGGGCGGGACTGGCACCATATACCTACACCTCAACATGTATAAAGCATACTTATGTTTACCTGAAGATTGAAGAGGCCCGTACTCTGGTGTCGATGTCGTGACATTATCATTCTGTGATAACTCTAAGGAGTTAATAAAAGTAGCAGTGTGAGACAAATCGATCGACGAATCAGCGAAGGCAATTTCAACTACTAAAAACTACCTGAAGATTGGGAACGCACCAGGTCAGACGAAAAATATGCCAGCTTGGCCATTTCCGGTCAAATTTGACAACACGAGTTTGCAGTATAAACGCTTCTGATTGTTGTTTTGGTTAATATTGCAATAGCTGTCTTTTTTCATCTTAACTTGCATTAAAGACAACGTTCACAGGCTACACGTCTTTGAATAATCAGAGTATGTCTAAACGGGCGGTTCCTGAAATGGCGTTTGACGTCAGTTCTTCAGGTAAGACGAGGCTGAGTCTAGCTCTAGGTTACTAACTTACTGCAGTAACTCTTACTTAAGTTAAGACTCTTCTTTCTTAGCTTTACTTTAAACAAGTAACGAACAGGTAACAGTTGTAAACTGAGTTACTTCAAAAAGAATTCGACATCGTTTAGTTAGTTGTTGACGTTAATTAATAATTTGTACGATAGGAGTGTAAGCAATCAGTGAGTCATAGACTAGAGTGTGTTTGATTTCGTTTCTCAACTTCTCTTCGGAGATCGGGCGAATGGGATCGTCATCTGCGGGAGGTCTGCTTTGTTTTCACGAAACTGAAAACAAAGCTCGCTAACGACGGCAGCTCCAGTACTCCAGCAACTACGGCCAGGGATCTTGTCTTCTACCGAAATACCTGCACTTGCTTAATAAAGTGCCGAGCCCGAAATGACTGAACCCTTGAATAACCACTTTTTGAATACAATGTGAACAACAGCTGAACTCCCTTCACCAAGGAGACCAGTAACAGTTAAAAAAGAGTGAATGAGAATGAGTGAAATTTCATTGAATACTCAGTCATTGTTCACATTTTTTGGCTATCCTCTGAATAACTGTCCTAACTTATCGATGCTGAAAATATACCCTAACTAACAGGGCCTCAGTCAACGTGTCAGTCACGCACTTCCAGGGACTATAACGCCCCTGACGAATTGCAAACTTCCGGGAACCTCCACCACCACCGAGAGTATCCCCCATGCCGCTCGCTCACGTGGCGTGGATTGGGGCTAAACTAGACAGCTAGGAGTTACTAGCAAATAAAATAAAGGAAGTTGCTCGTGAGGCCCAGCCATCTAGTTTAGCCCTAATTCACACCGTGTGCGCTTTACTCTTTGCGGTGCCGGAAGTGCGCAATTTAAGACGAAGGAAGTGCACAATTGACACATGACTGAGGCCCTGTTAGGGTATATTTTCTGCCTCAATAATTTAGGACCGTTATTCGGAGGATAGCCTATTTTTCTTACTATTACTTACTTATTCTTTATATATGTGTGTGTGTGTGTATACATTTTATATATAGACTGAGTTTCTCAGTAATTCCAATATCACTGTCAGTTACTGTTACGGATAGCCAGTGTATGCCATCTCAAGACCCCTTTATTGCATACAATCACTGACATTTTTTTCTATATAAAGTAAACTTGCATCCGATAGTGCCAGGTTCACTCAAAAAAAATAAGTTAAAGTTTAAAAAAAATGACACACAGCTAGCAGGCTTGCTTGTCTATCTGTGGTTGACCTCCTAGACTTTTATGAAAACTGGCCTATGATAATGCTCCAGGTTTCTTCTTCTCTTTCTCTAATTTCACAGGGTCGAGTTTTAGAGAATCATAACATGTTTCTTAATGAATGAAATCCGGGAAAAGGTAATTGCTTAAGATGCGAAGGGGTTAGGGCATTTGCTGAGGGTATGCCTGGTGTACTACTGTGATGTTAATTTTTAAATCTGTGATCAGGTTTTTAGCCTTGCTTATGTCATGATTGACAGATGATGATGCACCCGAAGAAGTTAGTGTAACTTCCTCCCGGCAGCAAGGTATCTCTCAACTCAAGGACCTCAGAGAATCTCTGAGGAAAGGTAAAGAAGAGGAACGAGAGAGAAGACGACAGAGAAATGAAATGTTCAAAATTCAGAAGGTGAGACATTGCTTAATTTTGTGTGTGTTGTAAACTGCAAAGATGTGGCTTTAAAGACGAATGTCAAAACACTATGGACAGATAAAAAGCCTAATGAAGACGCCTAAAAGAAAGAAATAAACACATGAAGATAATTAATTACCAGCATCAGGAGCAGACAGTCTGCATTTATTGGGCCTATCATAAGAATGGAAAAACTAGTGCTTTATTATGCAGGGAAGAAAATGTGGTAGTTAATTCCTCTGCATTGTGACGATTGTCCTATTCATAGACCGAAAATTGTTGCTTTCTGTTGAGTCTGCTAATGTGGTCTTGTGGATCTTTACTGTACATTTGTTTTCTCCACACTTCATTTATTTATTCCCATAATAAGTGTTCTGATTTCTGGTAATGACATTAATTGGGTGTTGTTTCTCTTTTGTTAAATTTTTAGCAAGTCTGTCTGCTAACTTATTTCCTGATTTGCCGCTGTGAGCCAGGATCCACTGGAGAACGATTTGAACATTTTCTGCGAGTGTTCAGCTAGCGGACCAGTTCTCTCTCCAAGTTGTCTCACGGATCCCTTTGAGTCACCTGGAGGACTGACATGCAGTCACAAAGGAAAACCAGTTTGCTGTTTTTAATTTTTCTATCCTCAAGCACTTTCGCTATATAAATATTTGCTTGCTGCTGTGCTCTGAAGTTTGTTAAGAGTCTTCGGGAAGCGAATGCCGTTTCTGCTGTGGTCCCATTTTGCAGCATGATGACTGATCCGGCTCCTTCATTTTTTTTCTGCCTTCTCCAATGATCCATCGGTGTATATGTGTGTCCAGTCAGGTTTTGGATAAGAGTTGTAGACATTTTCCAGGGTCTTTGCATGCAATACTAGGTCAAAAGCTTCCACCTTTCTGTCTATGCTTGGAATTGTTGTTGTGAATGTATAGTTAGGCTGTAGATCTATGCTGTATGCCTTGATTATTTCCCACATTGATTTTTAGAAAAGATATCGTTTATTGTGTAGTACAATTTTGAAATTTAGTGAAAGCTTTGTCTTTTCAGTCAGTTTTAAGTTAAATTGTTTGCTATACTGTGCATGGGGTTGTTTGTTCATGTGTTAAAATATTTATGTTAGGGTAAACACATTTTCTTTCATTTAAATGCTTTAATTCTGGAGGCCAGAAGTTGCCTTCAGCTAATTGATTGGTGTGCTTCTCATACTTCTAGTGGTGATTCTGAGACCAGTGTTCTATATTTTGTAGTTTGATTTGGCTGCAGTGGAGTATACTCGATACTATACTCTATTTTTGGTCATATGTATACTTGTTGTACAGGTTGGCATCTGCACCCCAGCATGTTTCTTTATAAGCCTGAGCAGCAGGGTAGCTTTCCCTTTGGTGTCTTCAATGTGGGGACCCTGTGTTAGCCTTCTGTTGAATTTTACTGCCAAATATGTTGGAAGGGTGTTGCCTTCTAGGTACAGATTAACTAGTTCTGGCTTTGTGGAAAGAGATGAGATTGTTTTGGTCTCGTTCATTGTGACTCTCCAAGAGTCTGTCCAGTACAGACAGTAAACCTAGCCACGTTCACAATGCCCCAGTGCAGAATGGCAAAATGAATGTTGTGACTAGAAAGTCTTTATCATCAAATAACACAGACTGACAATGATACATCAAGAATACATAATAAACACAGTTAGCTTTATGATTAGTCATGTCACAAAATATTCATCAGTTCTGCATAACACATCCTCACAGGAGTGATCTTCAATAAAGGACATTCAATTTTTATATTTGGGTCGCATTGTCATAGAAGTAGCATATCTAGATACACATTGCTGTTTCCAGTTTAGTTTTAAAAAGTTTTTTGTTCGTTCTCACGATTCACGGATAATGAGGGCCACACCAGGAAAGAGATGATTGGGGCCTCACAACATTATATTTCCACAGATGGTGGGTAGAGGATACCCAGCCTTTATTGTACGGACAATGATCAAGTTTCTGTTAGTTAACCTTACCCTTTCACCCTCCGTAGGAGCTGTTTTTCCTGACTATTGAAGAGGCATGTTTATGAGAAGTCCGGCTAACAGAATTCATTCCATCTGAATGTGCACAAATGTTCAATGTGACAGGGGATGATTACATTTACCAAAAATAGAAATAGCATTAATGGGGTTTCTATTAACTTTTTTTATAGAATTTCCCTGTCATATTTTCCTCATTTGCTGCAGTGGTTACCTAGCAGCCGGTTTACACTGTCAAGTGTCACAATATAATTAGTTTACAAGCACCAAGAGATGTAAGCCAGTTGATTCTCTGCTGCATTTACTTTGATTACTTCCCTTAACACTGTTCTGGTATTTGTGTTTTCATTGGTACATTGATTTTGTGTTATTTTTTTTAATTAAATATTTTAATTTAATGTAACGTGTAAAATTGTACAGGAGTATGCTTTTTTTTAGGTCACCAGTGGAAAAGGTTAATTTGTGAAATCATCTGGCTTCATAAAAATGAGTACCAAACAGTTTTCAGAAGTTTTGGCAATTAAAGGGAATTAGGCATTCCAGCACACTTGTCGTGGCAAATGACCAGTGGTGTAAATTAGGCTTCTTGGGGACAGGCCACTATAGAAGTGAAGGGAAAGCTGCATTTACTGGATGGAGCCGCTGCCTAGTGTGCCAGAGTTCGCCTGATCTCTGTTCATGCTCTTTGTACACCGTGGGCCATAAACTGGGATGTTAACTCAAGGTCTCTTAGTTCCCCAGAGCTTAGTCATCAGTTGTCTGGGCATGGCCACATGTTGCTTCACAGCTTCTCTAGGAGAGTCTTGCAAGACATATTTTGGGGTCTTTTCAGTTCGAAGACCATGGCAGCGAGATGTTTTGCTCATACCTCATTTATATGAGTGTGTTGAATCATCTATGTCCAGTGCAAAAGTTGAAATGGGTGCTTGGTCTGTTGAAATGTTTGAGCAAATCTGTTTCATAGTTTTATCTTTTTGTTTTCCAGTTTGTCAGAAATTTTCTCTTGGGGAGATTTTGACTTCTGGAAAGGATAGTAGCTTGTAGATTTGTTGCTTTTAACTGCCCTCCTTGACTAAAGCATCAGCACTTTCATTCCTGTGATGCCAGTGACTGGAGTTCACTGTATGTCGTTTCTGCCTTTTTTTGAGAGCCCAGCAAGTTCCCCTTTTCTTAGACCTTGTAGAATTCTGTCAGTTTTGGTCTCTTGAGTGTCACTACCTTATAATATCGAGGGAAAAAATTGTGCTATGTAACTTTTTTCTTGTATATATTTCCTACTTTTTTTTCCAAAGGAAAAGAAGTTAAAAGACCTCAGTAAAAGAAAACTGCCAGACGATGTTCTAGAAGCTATTTCTGCAAAATCAGCCATGAAAACACACAAAAAGGAAGGTAATGGAATTATATAGTTGAAGCTTCCATATTCTTCATTACCTTACTTGCAGGAGATTAAAGGTTGGAGACCCAGAACTCTGCCTAGGTGGACAGGAACTAACTGAACGTGAGCTGCAGACATGTTCTTTCTGTATGCAGTTTCTACATCTTCTTCTTCTCCACTTCCTCTTTTACCGCTGTGGGTGTCGAGGGAGATATAAGGTTCTGTTTCTAGCTCTTCTGGCTGCCTCGACCATAGGCACATCTGCTGTTGTAGAGTTTCTCTGATGTTATCCTTCTATGTTGTTCTTGGTCTACTCCGTGCTCTACGTCCTTCTTCTCTTTCCATGTATGCTTTGTATGGTATGGTGTCACAAGGCATTCTCACTAAGTGGGCAAACCATTTCACTTGCTGTCTTTGTATGTAATCCAGAATTGGTTCTGTGCCGACTTGTTCTCTTATGATTTCATTCCTGATCTTATCTCTCATGGTCACTCCTACAGCCCTTCTAAGACATCTCATTTCCGTGGTTACTAATTTTCTTTTATGGTTTGTTGTGAGTGACCATGTCTGGCACTGGTAGCACAGAGTTGGAATAAATATGCTTTGAATAAGATGTCTCTTTGTGCTGATTGGGATTGTCTTATGCTGTAAGAGGGGGGCTAGCTGTCCCAATACTTGGTTTGCTTTACTGCATCTAATGCCAATTTCTTTATCCAATTTCCCATCTTCGGTAAATGTAGTTCCCAGATATTTAAACTCAAATGTCTGTTTAAGGTCTTTGTATTCTATTGCTATGTTTAGATCTGTCTTCTTTTTTTCTATTGACATTACTTCTGTCTTTTTAGTGTTGATTCTCATATTTGTTTTACATTCTTCATTCATGGATGTTAGATGTTGTTGCAATTTCATGGCTGTATCTGCTATCAAGGCCTGGTCATCTGCAAAGAGTAATTTGTTGATCTTACTGAGATCTTCATTCATGGGCTTGGCATTCTTGCATATACTGTCGATGTAGGTGATAAACAGCAGTGGTGATAAGTAGGGCTGTACCGAATAGTGATTTTCACTATTCGGCCGAATGCGAATAACGGGACCAACTATTTGGCCGAATACGAATAGTGCATTGTGTATAAAAAATGTCTTTAAAAAAACACACACACACATTCATAATGTCAAATTTACGCTGCACTTTTACTTCACATAAAGTAGCACATAATAGTCATCTTCTTCTTTAGCATTCTGAGCCCTTGAGGTTTACTGCTGCAGATATCATTTGTCTTCATTCATCTCTCTGGCTGGCCTTTTCTTCACAATTTGTGACACCAGTTGTTTGAAGATCTGACTGGACATTATCTCTCAAACTTCTTTTTTTGTCTGCCTCGTGGTCTATGCTCATTCCTCTCTCAGGTGTATAAAGTTTTTACTTCTCTGTCATCTGACATTCTTTCAATTTGCCCCAACCATTTTAGTCTGGTAGCTCTCATGATGCCAGTGATCAATGGTGATTTAAACATATTATGTATTACGTTGTTGCTTCTCACTCTCCATTCCCCGCTGTTAGCCTTTTTGTGATGGGTCCGAAGATTTTGCGTAAGACGGTTTTAGAAAACCTGTAATAAGGCCTCATCTCTTTTATTTCTGCTTCAAGTTTCGGAGCCATATAACACGACTGGTCTTATCAAAGTTTTGATTTTGGTGTTGCGAGACAGACACTTTGACTTTAGCAAATGTTGAAGGGGGTAGTATACTTTATTTATAGATGCATGTTAGAGCAGTTGAAGTTTGCACCCAAGTACTTGTATGTTTCCGTTCGTTTGATTTTTATATTATCAACTTGGATGTGGCCAGAGTTTATATTCTTTTCATGTCTAGTGAGCATTCGTACAGAATAGTAAACATTTAAAAACATTTTATGTTTTTCATCCTTCAGTCAGTCTGTGGTAACTAATAACTAGGAATGAAAGAATCCTAAGTGTTATAACAAGTAACTAAACTTGGAAATTGTCACTGACAGCTTAGTTAATGCATGAAAGCTGCATTAGCTTTCAACAAAACCAATCGTTCCATGTTGTCAGCATTAAGGCCGTGTATGCAGAAGCGGGTGTAAGGTAACTACTATTCGTATTCGGCCCGACCGCGACTATTCGGCCGAATACCGAATAGTCAATAGGTCTACTATTCGGCTCCGAAGCGAATACGAAACGAATATTCGGTACAGCCCTAGTGATAAGACACACCCCTGTCTTACTCCAGATGTCACAGTGAAAGGATGAGATGTTCCCTGATTTATTCACTTCTACAATCCCTGTATAAACTTTTGCACACTTCGATGAGGTGTTTGTTTCTACATGCTGTGTAAAAATGCCAGATCTGGCCAATTGACATTCTAGTGATCAGTCTGTTGATTAGTGGAGTTTATGTGCCTCACAACTGCCTTTAAAAAGACCCTTAGCCCTCTCATCTGAAAACTACTGTCAGGAAGAACCATTAGAAGATATTCAAGAATGCGTAAAAAATTTGACACCAACTTATGTCAGTCATTAACTCTTTTAGTCCCAAGGAATGCATCATACGTTCATAGGGTCCTACACAGACGCCAAATGAATGCAAGATGTGCTTATTTTACATTTCTCTTAACCACCCCTTGGGCCTCTGTTGCTAAACCCTCTGGAACTCAAAGAGTTAATGAAGATGGCGCTATATTGTGCACATCCTGAAAAGCAAGTCTTCAGACAGGCACTGAAATAAAAAAATTAATGGAATGAGAAAACATGAAGCTCTAGAATGAGATTTTTTTATGAGATAGATCAATAGTACTGGACTGGACTTTATCCAAGATATTGAACGGTTTGCACAGAATAGAAGGTATTTGATTTGATTCAAGAACCGACATCACAACACTCGGGGCATTCCCATAAGTGCTCTGTCCCCATCTTCAGCAGCCAGCGAAGAGTTCTGATACTATGGTGCCAGTAGCATTCTGATTAAACGTCCGTCTTGCCTTTCCTGTGAGCCTCAAACATCTGCCAGAACCTCTCGTCACTCCCCGCTGCATCAGTCTCACCAGACTGTGGTGATCCATTTGCTCCTCCGAACTGTACACACTCTCCCACAAGGCACTAACCACGTCTGCCTTATCATGTATCAGTATTCCACCAAGTTGTGCAGAGCCAGCAAGTCTGTCCGCCTATTCATTTCCCATCACACCGGCGTATCACGGTGAAAAAAATCCAGACAATACTCCTCACCTGTGTCCTCCGCAGCGAAGCATGCCACTCTGCACGAAGCATACCTGTTCTGATCTTTCTCAGCACGCTTTCTGAATCAGTTACAATCACGATGTGTGTTTGTGTCGTGTTCTCTAGCCAGCTGAAAGCTGCAGTGACCGCCTCCACCTCCATTCTAAAGCTGGATGTTGTATCATATTCTAGGCTCTCCTACACCAAACGACGACCATTAACTTTTGCTAAGAAGCCCCAAGCACTTCTTTTGCCTCTTGACACTGAACCGTCTGTAAATGATCAAATCCTCTGAGCGAGCATTATCTTGAATTAACTGCTGAATTTTCACCTCTGTGGCGCCTGCTGGCCAATCTCTACATTCCCGACTCAGCAGGAATTAAGGAATAGACAGTGAGTGTTTTTGACATATAATGGCACCAAATATTGTTGATGAAGTTTTTATCGTAGTTCTTTCTAGAAAGAGTATAATATTCAGGAAACTGAGTGGGAATGATCAGCATTTAATATTTAGATAATGGAGCAGGTGAGGTCAATGTATAATATTTGGTTAAAGTAGACAGTAGAATAATTACCCAAATAAATGAATCCTCCTGCTCCATGAAGATATAAAACCCACACATTTGATTGGGTCCAGTGCCCATAAAGGTAACCATTCTGACTTGTCTATAGTAAACTGTTTACGAGCAGCATAGCTAATGATATTGGCTGTTTTCAGGCCTGTACAAATTCCTAGGAAGTCAGGATATGAATACATTAACAACAAATAGCATTTAGGGGGTTCCCCTTGAACATAAAGCCAAGTTAATGTAAAATTTTCCCAACGTTCATATAAGTACAAAACTTAGATTAATCATTTTTTAACCAAATTCATTTGTGACCCGTACAAATTGGTCATTTCTAAAGGATTTTCCCCCCTATTATTTCAATGGACTCATGGCCCCTTTTGTGTGTGCTCCTATGGTGAGAAAGCTTAATAAAGATGGAACGATCAAAGTATATTTAGACTGTCATTTGTTTCGGTTACTGACAGGATAAGAACTGCTTTTTGATCACCCTCTTTGGCCTTGTAGGTTTCACTGCTAACAACATTCTGGTTACACCTTATTCAGGTTTTCTCAATGTTTATCTTATTCTGTGTCAGCCGCATGTGGATTCCTATGCCCCATCCAGAATAGACCCACTGCCCCCCTAACAAACAGAATACAAGAAGAAGCAATAAACCAGATCTGTATAAAGGATATGCGTGAAAAACTTTAAATTTCAGTAACAAGGTTTTTTATTTTGTTACATTTCGGTTTAGTGCCTTCCAAAAAAGCAGTTTCCAGAAGCGACGGAGATGATGAAGGTGGTCATAGTGAAGAAGAGGACAAGAATTCAGATGCTGGGGACAATGACCTGTCAGACAGTGGGGTGGAAGGAAGTGTTAAAGGCTACAGTGGTGTTGAAGATTTTATCCCTCTTGGGTTGGTAGTGTTAGTTATGTATTATTAGTATAACATTGCTTTAAATTATCACTAATGTGGAGCTTATTCTAATGTATCAGAGAAGAGGCGTTGGGTTGGATAGAACACACTTTAAAAAAAAACATGAGAACAATATAACTAGAATAACTTTGCACTGGAACCAACAGGGGCATAAAAATAAAGGCAGACCAGATGTCTTCTCTTTGACTAGTGAAGTCTGGGCAGTCCTGTAAGACATGCTCTAAAGTTTGCTTTGGTGAGCCAGTTACATGCTGCAGAGAAAGCAAGACATATGGAGAAAGGAGATAGAAAAAGTTACAAATATGGCGAAGACCTAGGGTGAACTACAAAGGACAGAACAACCTGGCATGAGTTGGTGGGGGAGGGGGGCTGTACTCATTGATAACTGCTTTATAGATCCATAGTTGTTATATACATGTGAAACATAAACAGTAAGTGGTCTTGATGTCAGTCCAGCAGGTTCAGATCTGTAATACACGGCTGACACATCACAAATTGATTGTGATCTGATGGAAACCTTAAAATGGTAGAAATTACAATAACCATCCCATTGTCTTATAACTTGTCATTGGTTGTAAAGCACATGACGTCATGGTGCTGGCGAACAATGTGATCTCATAAGGACAGTTTAAAGGTGATCGTCCTATTTTTGACTTGCACTGAATAGGAAAAGCATTCTTTTATCCTGTAAAAAAAAAAAAATCAGTAAAGGGTTGAAACTTTTATAGATTCATCACTCAATGAAAGTCCAACATGGATATTGTCACTGACAGTCAATCAGTTTTCCTTTACCAGACCTTCAGTACTGCAGTCCACTTAAAGGTCGCTACTTGGTGTGCCTGACCCAGTTGTGACTGGTCTGTCACAGAAGACACGTTGTTTTTAAACTTCCTGCTGTAGTCATACACTTGCTGGACAGGCATTCATGAGTGTTCACATGAAGCCCTTTGTATGTGACAAATGAACATATTGCAGTCGGATGTTAATGTCTTTATCTTTTAGAACTTATGGTGTTGGCTAGCCTAATTGTTAGAACATTGGACTCTCTTTCAGGAGACCTGGGTTCATACCTCAGTAATTTGTTGGAAATGTTTCTATCTTCAGAGTTAAAAAAAAAAGGGCAACAACAAGCGTAGTTCCCGATATCGAAGAAATAAGAGAAATGTCTGGGCAGCCACCAGTGTCAACAGTTATAAGACTGAGAAGATGGCACTATATCAAACACTTCCTGAGAGGAGATAAAACAGAGAATCACATAACAGAGAGACCCTAAGGCAGATGTTAAGGACTGGATTACATCCATGGTATCAGGCTGATTGCACAGGCCAGAACAGAATGGAGACGTAGACTGAAGCCTGTGTGACATATAATGGTACATCAGGACAGTGAATGAGTGAATACTTCCTAATGACTGTGCTAGACAAAGAGCCCTAAATTCGCAGGCCAAACACTCCCCATACAGGCAGAAAAGTCAATGGTTACACATGGAGCACTTGTACAAATGGCTGTTCAAGACATATTTTTTTCTGTATGTCTTTTACATCACGCTTTTAAAAATGGCTGTTCAAATGGATCAGTTGTAAAATTAACTGTTTCAAATTAAAAAATGACTGTTCAAATGGTAACTTATAGAAATTGCTGTTCAAATGGAGCACCTGTAGTAATTGCTATTTAAATGGAGCACCAATAGAAATAAATGACTTTTCAAATGGAGCACTTATAGAAATGGCTTTTTAAATGCATTTCAAGAAATGTTTGCTGAGAAGATTTAATTGTCTGTATCTCTGTCTTCTAGGTCGGGCAGTGGTTTGGCCTTAGTTACTCCCGGAGCAATAGCAAAAGTAGCACAAACAGCTGCCCAGAAGGCTCTTAGTTTCAAACAGAATCGGCTCTACAATCAGCGGATTCCTAGAGAAAATGGTAAGTGCGTTGATTTCAGTGTCTTTTCTTATGGTCATAAGTTATTAGATACTTGGATACAGGATTTAACATGTTAAAAGGGGTGTGGCCAGACAAAAGCACTATGCAGGAAGCCAAAGAAGAATAAGAAGCCAACACAGAACTGGTTTCGCTAGCCGCTACAGGCTGCAGAATTTACTAAGGAGGAGATCCCAGCACTTATTTACTGAATGGTTCGATGTGCAGTGAGGATAATCTGTTAACTAACTAAGTAACTAGGATTGAATGGAGCTAAAGAATGGACTGTGAGCCCTGCGGGGCATATTGGCACAACAGGCTGATGATGATGTAATAGCAGGTGAAATATGTATTTGACAAATTCAATGTACAATAAAAGGTAACAGGCTTTTTTCCTACACCTTCAGGTGTATTTGGCATATAAGGCTAGACTAGTTTGCACTAAATGGGTGATGTGGTCAACATCCTGCTGGCCACCTTTACTTCCCAGAATTTTACCTGGTACCCATTTGAGACTGGGTTGACCTGGGAGCCAAGATTATTATTATTTTTTAAAAAGGTCCGGCTCTGTCAGGACCTAAACACACAATGTTTGTATTTGCAGGCAAGCATTATAAATTTAGCACCACACTCTTCACCCTCTCCCCAAAGCAAAAAGCGGGCATCATCAAAATAAACGGAATTCCCCTAATAGATGATAAAGAGCCCACATACCTAGGAGTCACATTTGATGACAGGTTGACGGAGAAAACATATCAACAAGGCAGCAACCAAAGCCAGGAGGAAGACAGCAATACTATAAAAACTAAGTGGAACAACATGGGGAGCCAGTGGGAAAACACTCAATAAAGTATACAAGCAGAGCATACAACAACACTTGAAATATGGGTCAGCTGCACGGTGTTCAGCATCTAGTACCACATTAAAGGAGTTGGACAAAGTGCAAAATCAAGCACTCAGAGTCATCACAGGAGGGATGAAATCAACCCCCTTATTAGAAATAGAGAAAGCTGGGAAAACACAGGCACTGAGAGAACGCAGAGATACAAAGTTGCAAATACAAGCTGAAAAGTTCCTCAGTATGCCAGATCACCCGATGGAAAATAGATTTAAGAATCTAGCCTTGGGACGGTAAAAAGAAGCAGCTTTATATACCAAGCAAAAAGAATATGTAGACAAACTACTGACCCCCCCCCCCCCCCCCCCCCACGTGGAAATAGTTTACATTTACTTTCTTTGAGCATAATAAGAAGGAAAACTTGTACATATAATGACTGGAAACTTGGGGGCAGGGGAATAGCTGCTGAGGGAGACAGGAGTTGGACAGTTTGGCTGCATGGCGGGGTAGAAACATCTGTCAGAAATGATTGACAGTGCAGGAAGAAGAGGACATAATCACTAACATTTCTTCTTCTTCTCTTCCACCTTGTACCTCATCAAAGTGTCAGGCGGAGATGTAACATTCGCTGATGAGCTTTGTCAAGAGCACTATTAAGACTGATGTTCATTTCTGTAAGGCTGTTCCTAATGCCATCACTCCATATTTTCTGAGATCTTCCAGTCGCTTTATACCCGTTGAAACATTTTAATCTGGCTCATTATGGCAGTTAGTACCAGGGCATTCTTGTTAGGTGTCCAAACCACTTCATTTGTTGTTCTTTGATGTGTAAGACCGGCTTTATTCCTAGCATCTTGTATTCTGTCTTTCCTTGAAACTCCTGCAGCTCTTCTAAGGCACTAAAACTAGACATAACATAAACTATTAATGTCTGTAGTGGGGTGGTAGTGTTAGACCCACTGCCCCCCAACACGCATGTTGTACAAGAGGACCAATTGAGAGTTTGTTGACATTGAACATGTTGGATTGAAAGACACAAATACTGCAGCCTAGCTGTAAACACTAACACAACATCCAATTTCCCTTTTGGAGTGTAGAAAAAGAAACTGATCATCATCGTGTAGCAGGTCCTTTGTAGAACATGGCATTTATCACGGTCTGCCTGGGAGAAACTTGGCCTCTCGCCAGCTCTCCCTTTTTGTGCACTTTCATTTCCAAGGAGTCACTCACATCCTGTGCCCATGTACATGCTGGCTGGGCTGTTTATTAGCCAATCTTCCTTGATGTTCAGATCTTTTAGAATGTGAATATTTCTTTTCTTCTTTGTCTATGGTATTCTGAAAATCTTAATATAGCATCTCTGCTCAAAAGCACCTATTTTCTTCCTCAAAGACTTTAAGAATGGGGTTTGATCTTTTCTGTTTTTTGTGTATGTGTGGTTTCCATAGGTCTTTTGTGTGTTAGTTTCCCCTAGTAATGGTAGTTTTCATGCAGCTTTCTTCATAAGATTTTGCTGCTTTTTTTTTTTTGGCCAGTGCCTGGTGTTTTGAACAGTTTCACATTCCTGATATACCAAGATTCAAAATCAGCTGCAGATGATTTGGGGCCATGCTGTTGTGAAAGCAGTAGCAAACCACTTAAGGTAAAATTACCCAGTGAAACCACACAACAGAACTGAATGTTTGGGTTGCAAAGTCATAAAAAGGATAACTAGATTAAGATCAGGTTTCCCCGGAACTTAGGGGCTTAGACCCTTAGCCTCCCCTCTGCCTCCAGTTTTGTAAGAGGGCTTCCTCTTGAGACCCCAGAACCCACAGAGGAAGAACTTTCACAGATCTAGCTTATTTTGATGCCAACTGTTGGTTTCTTTCCACTCAGGTAGCTGGACTTCAAAGGAAACACCCTTGATTAGTTGCCTTTTACTATTGCTTGTTGGGGGCAGTTGGTCTATTCCCCTCACCCCATTTGGGCCCCCTGAACTCACGCAGGGATTCTGCTGTGTAACTTCTTCAGTTTATCATCTATATTGTGATGCTAGGTGTAAAAGTTTCACATATGGCTGGTTACAGAGTTGGGGCATGTTCAGTTGCAAGGGATGCTGTGATGTGACATCTTAGGTTGTGAGTGACCCCTGTAGTCTAGGTCGGGACTATTCAGCTAAGTTTACTCAGGTACCAGAGTTGGGAGAACAGGAATTGCCAGAGGCTGGAGAACCCCAACATAGGGAGATTATTAATACAAAGCATTTGGCAGTGATCTGCTGGACCTCCATGGGCAGTGCCTGACTCACGGGCCGCCAGTTGAAAAGCCCAAGTTATTCCTGGTGATTTTGCAGTCATAATTATAAATGTGTACAGTGTTTTGGCTTGATTTGTGTCTTTGCAGCACAGCAGAGGAGAGCAAAGATGATCAAGCGCAAAGTGGCAAATCCGATGAAATGAGAACCTGTTAGGGAGTGTGTGTGTGTCTGAGAGAGAGACTGAAAGCATGTGAGGAAGAGTGACTAAGAGCTAGAGATTATGCAAGAAAGTCAGGGTGCTGATAATGTTCCCGATATTGAAGAAATAAGAGAAATGTCTGGGCAGGAGAGAGAGAGAAAAGGAAGAGAAGTGTATGCTAGAGAATGTATGTGTTTATGGGAGGTAGGGGTCACAGTTGGAGAGTATATGTTAAAATGACATGGTAAGAGACAGAGAGTTAAAGAATTTCAAAGAGATTTTGAAGTATGAGGTTCACTTTGGTGCTTTTCTGTGTTTGACAAACATTGAGATTGTATGATGTGAAAGTTGGGAGGAGAGACCTCATTGCACCTGGTTTCATCATATGTTGCTCGGCCACTCTCTGCAGAATGGCTGGCCACCTGCAGAGGGCATCACACGAAGCAGGAACACCGTAGCTTCAGCTATGATCCCTGGGGGGTCTCTGTAAAAATTGCACCTTTTAACTGAGCGACACAACTGTGAAACGAACCCAAAACCTTTCGAACATGAGGCAGTCAGCTTTGCCAGGGAGAGCCTTTATTGTATGATTTGTGGGCCTATACCTTCATGTGTGCATATTAATGTGGTATACCCACTTTGCCTGCTAGATATTTAGAAAAGGAATGAAGTTGTTAGAACATTGCTGTATTATATTTTAGGTGGGGGGGGGGGGGGATTATGGCTACTCCTGTACGCAAAAAAAATTGCTAATAAAATGACAGCTTTTTGAGGCTGAGAAAGATTTTAACTGATTTATGTTTGATTTCTAGGAAATTCTATAAATCAAATCATTGGACAGTGGTCATGAATAGTTAGTAGACAGATTTTTATCATCCCACTATGAACTATCCAGCCCATAAGTGCTCACATATCCTGTTCAGTATCTACCTCAGCATGTCGTGGCTTATGACACCAGTTCTGTGTTGGTTTACTGTTCTTCTTTAGGTCCCTTTGTAGCGCTCCCCCCCCCCCCCCCCCCCCTTATGATGTTATGTTGGTGTAGTCTTGTCACTGTTGCAAATTCACAATCATTACTTGGTTCGGATGTCATCAGTATTGCTGAACAAACATGTAACAACTGACACCAAAATAACACTATTCAGAACAGCTTGTTTATACCAACATTGTGCTGTCAGTGACAAATATGTCAAGAAAAGGGACACGCAAAATTGAAACAACAGAAATTAAATGTCTACAATGATATCTAAATGTAACTAGCAGAGACTTGAACAGAAACTAGAATATCTAAGCATAAGCTGGGATAGAACCAGAACTAGACTACATTAAGGAACAACAAATCTAATGGTTTAAACATATGTCAAAACTACCACCAGATAGTGTACCCTGTGTCTCAAATACGATAGAAGCAGAGGTAGGTGTCGGCCATGCAAGTTGTGTAAAGGTGGAATATCTGAGGCCGTAAAATACCAGCTTCTACATAGCACAAACGCCATTTAAAACTTGATGATGGAAGGCAGAACAAGACTAAAGGTGAAAACAAGAAAACAGATTCTATAGCATACACATTTCTATAAGTTTAGCTAGAAAGCATCATGCTAAATGAGATGATTCTGAAGCATGTCGATATGTTTCAATCGCCATAGTGGCATACTAGCTAATGCAAAAGGTCCTGGTTTTTAATTCACAACTTCCACATAGGTTACGGATCCCTATGTTTTATTTAAAGAAAAAAAGACAGTCTTTTAACAAGTGTGTCATAAAAGCTGACTAATTAGAGGTGTTTTCTTCTAATTTGGAGTCCATCTGCCTGAGAGATGAGAAACCAACAGTCTGGATACAAACAAGTCAGGTCTGTAAAATGAATCTGCATGCACAACTCGAGTTCTGGGATAAGACCTAAGTCCAAAAGTGGGTAGATAACCAGAACTTTCCCCCACGGGTTACAGGCAGTGAATGCGAAGAAGAATAATGTGGAGTGCATCTTCCTGTGAAGTTTGTGTCAGTACTGTGCAGAATGGAAGACCATAACATAGGTGATTTAAAGTTAAATGTACCAACCCACACTTCTGCAGACAATTTTTACTTGGGGAGGGGGGGGGGGAATGGCCACAAAGGACGACCTGGACTACCTGCGCCCATGCTGGTACTGCTTCAACTTCTAACACCACCACGACTGTTGCCCAGATCACTACTGTATCCACTACTGCGGCAGTTGCTGCTACCATCACCAACACTATCCTACTCATTATAATTTTTGTTGTTTTTATTATTTCTGTATCTGCCACCACAGCTATCTAGACATACTGTAGCCTAATATTTTAAAGTTACAACTATTATTTAAAATTTTGACTTTTTAGAACAAGAAACTTGATAAAATCAACACTTAAAAATTTTTTTTTAACTCAAAGTAACCATCGTATATTCCCAAAGCCTCAGTGAAATCAGGATGTCGACTATAAGAGATAAGCAGCTGCTTAGTCCTGCAGTCGTGGCAGTTTAAAATCTGGACCAATCACGACCCTACACGCGTTCGTGCGTACAGACCCACGTTTTATTGCGATTTTTCTTTTGCGTATTTTGTTCGTGACTCAGTTGTTGCCAAAACAAAGTTTGTTCAGGTATTTGTGTACAGATGTTTGTTCAGGTATTTGTGTGTGTGACAGTGATCACTAACATGTGCCATGTCGATAATAGTGGACAGTCTCGGCTGGCTGACACCACACGTATGGTCATGTGCGAGAAAGATGATCTCTAAAATGAACATTAAGAGTCACCGAGAGAGCGTGTTCTTGTTCCGCTGATGCCCTAGCCATATAACTATTTATCTCTGTGTCAGTCTTTAATTATTGTTCATCATAGGTGACGGAACCTGGGCGGTTCAGCCCCTCTCTCCCCCCTCCCAATTCAAGGGATCTTTTCCCACGGCCATGCTGAATTTGTAAGGAGAGTGAAACGAAACCCTTTCCTCCGTGATAACGTGATAGTTGGAGGAGGGGAGAGACCATGACGACTCTACTTCCTCTTCCTGTCGTTGTTGACACATAAGACATTTACAAGTGATCTCCATTGCTTTTTCTGCTGCTTTTCTGTCTTTTGTATTCTATTCTATTTTTACATTCCTTTATGTGCGTTTTTTAAGTCTGTCTCCATGTTTCTTTAGGTTGTCCATGTCTTCCTTTTCCATCTGCCGACCATCGAAGACTACTTTCCAAAGTGTTTCGCAGACATATCCAAGCCATGGCCATCCTCTTCCTTTGACAAGTATTGGAAGTATTTTGTTTCCTGTTTACCTCTTCTTTGTGATATTGTTTGGAAAACATATTTGCAGGAATCTCTTTGGACATTATTTAAAAAAAAAAAGTAAAATGTCTCTTGTTTGTGTGTAATTTCTGTAATTCATTTTCCAACGTCACTCTTGTCTAATTGTTTTCCTAAGTTGCTCTTGTATAATCTGCGTTTTTTTTTTTTTTTTTTTAAACTGAGTCCCATTGATTTCCATATATTGTTTAGCTTGGCAATTGTTAAGATTACTTTTTTTTAAATTCCCAAGGATAGAAAATTTTCAGAACCCCCCCCCCCCCCCCCCCCACCCCCTTTTTCTCCCGATCCCCTTTCTCTTTAGTAACTTTACTTCCGATGTGTACACATTTTCCAACTGCTATTGCTTCATCGGATTAAATAAACGGAGTTTCCCATTTCTGATAAGTTATTATTTTTTTAAAAAGTCAGTTGCATATTATTTCCAGGACTTGCAGAATCAAACCCCAGCATTTGTTTGTATTTGCTGCCGTGGTTTTTCAAGGCACATTTTACCTTCAGTAGCTCATCAACGAACATTCCATCTCCCCCCCCCCCCCCCCCCCCCCCGCCCGACACTTCGATGAGGTACAAGGCGGAAGAGAAGAAGTAGTTTACTTTCGTAACGGTCAGCCGAAACCGACGCAAGACTTTCTGCTGTCAAATCACCCACAGATGGGATCGAACCCTGCACCCAGGCTTACACACGCCTGAGCCACAGACGTCATTTCTCATTACAATAGTTTATACTTATCTATCCTGAGACCCATCTAAAGGGTCATTATCAAAAGTCTTGATACAAGACTGATGTCATCTAATCTACAGAGCTCAGATTCTTTAACTCATGCGTATACGACGATGATAAGAGACTTTCGACGGTGTGGAATTATTGATTGATTGACGTTCAACCAAATCGCTTCGAGCGATAAACACACGGTGACTCAAAGTGCCACTGTTCGGACGAGGATAACCCGGGGACAGGTCTAGAAACCCTATCCAACCCGTAGGGTTATATTATATTATATTGGAAATCGAAAAGAGTAGCCCAACAGCGTTTCCCGGGCAAAATTTGGAGTTATAAATCTACCCAAAGTATTTCAGGATCCCGGCCGGTGCAACGGAGTTCGTACACTGTGCTGGGATTCTTCAGACTCAGGCTTGAGTTAGAAGTAGAACGGAGCACTTATGGGTTACACCCGTGTGCAATGATGTTGATCCGTCGAATAAACATAAACTCTGAACCATGATCTCCATTACCGGTCTCTGTAACCCATCATGGCATTTGATGTAGCCAAGATTTTTTCACATTCCCAGTAAAGATGATGTTTACGATTTTATGTGCCTCAATGTTAAGATATTTCAGGATATCTCTGTTTCTCTTCTTGTTGGTCGGTAAATATATTAATCTGTCCATAGCACTTCCTCCCAAATTTTCTTCCTTGGGGATTGAGAGATGGTCCAGGACTCACTCCCATATGCTGCTATAGGAAAGAAGCCTGCTGTCAAGATATTGAGTTTGATTTACTTGTTGGTACTTGGCCAGAGACTCTATGCTGTTTTAATTGACAATTTTTTTTTTTAAAGATCAAAGACTTGGACATATTGAAAGAATGTCAGATGGTAGAGAGATAAAAATTGTGTGAACAAGGGAACTGAATAGTCGTAGACCACAAGGAAGACCCAGAAAACGATGGGGAGATTATATCCAGACAAACCGTCAGACACTTGGCGTCACCAGCTGGAAAGAGAAGACCAGCTAGAAAGATGAATAAATGTGGGTGATATCTGCAGCAATGAAACTCAAGAATCGGCTCGGAATGCTGAAGAAGCAGAAGGAGATAACTTGAATAAATAAGTAAATAAAGATTAATGTTGCTGTTGTTTAAACTCTGAACGTAGAGAGCATACATCTAAGTATCTTTATTAACTTTACACTAGTCGTGCTAAAAACTGAGAACAGTGACCCGTAGAGTCAATTTAATTGTGCCGAATAGATAAGAAGAGCTCCGCCCATTATGGTCACTATCTTATAATTTTGAGTCAGGATTTTGCAACTGTGCAAATTCTACTTTGTTGTAAGTCGCAGAAAAATAACACGAAGCTGAGATAACCTAAATTAAGTCTCAAAGAATACCCTCACGACTCACTGGGCAAAATACTCATATTTAATAGACATAACGGATACCGCCTTTTACTTCCCATGACATTTCTGCCTCGGCCTGCGAGTCATACATCAATTATAGAATTTCACCATTGGGGCCTGTAAGAAAGTACTCAGGCACAAACTTTAGGACTTCCCAAAACATAAATATCCACGTATCCAATTAGTGATCTGTCCTGATACAGTTCTGATTGTTCGTCCACTTCTGCACTTCTTTTTCCAGATGTTGAGTTTTGCGTGCACATCCATTTTTTTTTTAACAGATCTTTTGTGTGTGTGTGTGCGCAGATTGTTGGCGCTTTGCCTCTCCGAAAGAGACAATGCTACTTGGAAGGAAACACGCCTAATTGGTCGGCTTTCACGACACGCTTGTAAAAAGCATTGGAACTATTGAACTATGCCCCCCTTCCCCATCACAATGGGGTTACAGAACCTTATGGGAAGTCCTGGTTCAATCTTCAAAAGTGTCAGAATTTATGCCTCTCCTCCATTCTCATTACCCGTCCGTTCTTGTTTTTCTTTTCTTTCTTTCTTTCTTTCTTTCTTTCTTTCTTTCTTTCTTTCTTTCTTTCTTTCTTTCTTTCTTTCTTTCTTTCTTTCTTTCTGTCTGTCTGTCTGTCTGTCTGTCTGTCTGTCTGTCTGTCTGTCTGTCTGTCTGCCTGTCTTTCTTTCTTTCTTTCTTTCTTTCTTTCTTTCTTTCTTTCTTTCTTTCTTTCTTTCTTTCTTTCTATCCTTTAACCCCTGTTCGTTGTTCTGCCTTACCATGTAACGTTTTAAAGAGACTTCTGATCAGAGGGCGCGCCATTCTGACTCGAGTCTGACCTTTGTCGTGTAATTACCGACTTGTGACTCGACTTGACGTTGTGTCTAATGGCTGACGACACGACTTGCGACTTGTATCTTCCACGACTAGGTAAGACTCGTTATTCGAGACCCGCCACTGTGAAGTTTGGTGATCAACGACCCAGTTTAAAACGCATTCATATAAAACAGGACAGAATAAATTCGTTTTCGATTCACCAAATCAACTTTTTCCTTTTTATGTATAGTTATTGATTTTTCCGCACTGTCATTTCAGGTTTTGTATTTTGGCTATTTCTGATTATTTATCCAAACGCATTGTTTCATGCATGACTTGTACATGACTTGAAACATGAAGTGACTCGTGATTCGACGTGGAAGAATTCTTGCTGACAAGAGACTTTACTCGGACTTGGTGGCAATGACTTGGAGCTTGGTGGCGATGACTTTAGACTTGGTGGCAATGGCTTAGGTCTTGGTGTCAATGACTTGGGACTTGGTGGCTATGACTTGGGACATAGTGGCAGTGACTTGGTACCTGGTGGCAATGATTGGGACTAGGTGGCAATGACTTGGGACTTGGTGACAATGACCTAGGTCTTGGTGTCAATGATCTGGGACTTAGTGGCAATGACTTGGGACTAGGTGGCAATAACTTGGGACTTGGTGGCAATAACTTGGGACTTGGTGGCAATGACTTAGGACTTGGTGGTAATGACCGGGTGTTGGCTGCAATGAGTTGAGACTCGACTTAGACTTGAAGGGTGACTTAGCCCAACCTCTGCTTATGGGACCATCCTTGGTCTATTTGACCTTTTGATTTTCAAGATAATGTAGTTGAGAACGGAACCTAGACTCTGAAAAGGAGGTACCAGATAACACCCAGAAACGTATAGGAATCTCCCCCGTGCTGACTTTGGGGCCCCAGTTTTGAGGATACAAGAATAGATCCAGTGTCTTTCTAACAAGCGTGTCCTTAAAGGCGACTAATTAGGGCATTTCCCTCCTAAATCGGAGTGCATCTGCTTGAAAGGCGAGGAATCAACAGCCTGCATACAAGTAAGCCAGGTCTGTAAAACGTAAAACGAATGTTCTGGAACTAGACCAGCGTCCAGAAGGGATGAACAATGAGAATTTTCCGCCAGAGTCTACAGCCAGTGAACGCTAAGAAAAAAAAAGATATGACCTGAGACATCAGGGTTCACCATGGTCGTTCTTACTGTCACCGTAGCATTTTGTTTCTGACAGTACTTAACCATACGCAGGACTGGCACAGTTTTTTAATTAAACATAATTTGTGCTCAGCACTGCTGTCGTAGACACCACTTTTTAGTGCGTACCGTCACCTTTTAGTGTAGACAATCTGTTGTGAGTAATGGCAACTTTTTGTCAGGGAGAAAAAGCCCTAGGGTAAGATTTGTAAAAAAAAAAAAAAAAAAGCTCTTTACGCTATTGTCACCTTAGGTAAGGTACCAAATCAACCTTTTTTTTTTAGACCAATCATTAGTCGATGGATGTCAACATTACCCTGGCCTTTAGCTATAAACACAAATTCTCCTCAGAACATTTTTTGGGTACCAGTTTTACTGTGGCAGCCTTGTAGACTTAAGTCAGATATAGACATTCATTAACACGCGAAACGAGCCCAGGACATTCAGGCAGACAGAATAGTGGCTAGGACTTACAGAAGTGCTTCTGTATTTACTGACAACCATCTGTTGGACAGTTGGGACATGCGTGTATCCCAGACATCAACGCATCAGTATTACAATGACTCACGCGGATTTTTTTTTTTTTTTTTAGTATCTAGAAACCATGAGCGGTTAACCCTTTGGCTCGGTACTATGGATATCGCAACCCTTCGGCCTTGATTCCATGATAGATACCGTAAATCTGGGAGACATGTGGCTTTTCTGCCTAACTCCGGGGCGTGAACCCCGACTCCCTCTTTGCTGGATCCGCTCCTAATTTCTCATCTACACATTCTGGAACACGTTATTTCATCTATCCTAGTGTATTTTATCAGCATTCGTTCACATATGGTTTTCATAATGTCTCCTTTGTCCGGTACAAGTGTTCTTGTAGTTATCACATTCTTTGTAATCAGTGTGCTTTGGAATCAGTCAGCATCTATACCTTAAAATAGGGATATTCAGCTAAGTTTACCCAGAGGCGAAAATATTGCAAACTGGGATCGTCCCGAGCCAGAGTCCCAGCATAGAAAGATCATTAAAAATATACAACTGACAGTGATCTGCAGGCCACTTGCTAGGCCCGCTGGACGCCTGTTGAAAAACCCCTCTGCAAGAGACGGGGAACATATTGATGTGCCCGCTGTGCTGCGATGTCGATTCTCAAATCAGGAATCAGTAAACTAAAATTAAGTGGAAACTCCAGAGATATTTTACATCCTCTATTCGTAGAAGCCAGTTAAATGTAAGATATCTCAGGGGTTTAGAAGTTAAAGAACATTTTCAGTAACAATCTCGAAAAAGTACAACGGGCTGAAACTGGTTCCCAATCATGTCATGACAGGGGCTAATTAGGGGTGTACTGAAAGCGGGCGTGTTGCTACAAAAGGCGCAGATATCGTAACCTAGTTGTAGACCGCAACACAACGTGCCACCCATTCAAATAGGCCAAACGCAAATATATTTTCAACCTTGACCTTTACGCATATTTTTAGAATGATTCCGAAAAGTATTTAAGAGATTACTTTAGTGGCCAGAGACGTATTTTTTCTGACATCCGAGGCCCAATCTCATTTTATCTCAAGATGTTCGTTGTCGTTTTGTGCGCTTTTGTTGCTTATGCCAACGCAGGTGAGGTTTCGTTTTGAATATTTAATTTTTTTCTTTATCAACTACTACAACTACCACCACCACCGCCACCACTACTGCTACTGCTGCTTCTAGTAATATTACTTCTACTGCTGCTGTTGTTGCTACTACTAATGCTACCACTACTAACACCACCAACATCACTACTATTATTCTTACTAACAATACTAATACTACTGCTAGCACTTCTATTATCACTACCACCACGACCACCACCATCATCACCACTACCACCACTACTTCATCTGTTCTTGTTGCTGCTGTTACTACTGCTGCTGCTACTACTACTACTACTACTACTACTACTACTACTACTACTACTACTACTACTACTACTACTACTACTACTACTACTGCTGCTGCTGCTGCTGCTGCTGCTACTGCTACTGCAACTGCAACTACTACAACAACTATTACTAATAACACTGCCTTCACTACTACTATTACAACCACCACCACGACGACGACTACCACCATCACCATCACCACCACTGCTTCGTCTGTTGCTGCTGCTACTACTATTACTGCTGCTTCTGCTGCTGCTACGACTACTATAGTCATTACTACTACTTCTACAACTTCTAAAACACTAACTGCCACTACTAACTTGTACTCCACCTACTCTTAGTACTACCTTGGTTCTATAACTAACACCACCGCTACCACCACCACCATCACTACTACTACTACTACTACAACTACTATTACTACTACTACTACTACTACTACTACTACTACTATTACTACTACTACTACTACTACTACTACTACTACTACTACTACTACTACTACTACTACTACTACTACTACTACTACTACTACTACTATTACTACTACTTCTTCTTCTTCTTCTTCTACTACTACTATAGCAGCAGTTACAGTAGTACATATTTGCAGTAGAAGGAGAAACACAGTAGAACCTACCAGTCAAATTCCTGTCTTAAATGTTTGTGTATTTTAGACAAAGCATTACGGTCTACTGTGTTTGTAAATTGTTGCTGTGTGTGTTAATCGACTTATGCTTGGTTCATAAATATTTTTTTAACCTAATATCAATGGTTTGAGATGAATTCTGTAAGGATTCTATTGTTGTGGATTTCTGGCTGTACGATAGACATGGTCAATGAAGACACCTTCGATTTTTATGTTCTCTAATGTGTCCTTATATCTTTTAATGAGTGCCAGTCAATGTATTTTTAACCGGTTATTATATACATAATATTTTTACGGCTCAAGGGTTACCCTTCTCAAAGGTGTCTTTTATCAACACCATTGTTTTTCAATAGCGCATAAAAACATTATACCCCCGCCCCCTCCAAAACGGTCTACCAGTCTGTGCCAGCGGTGTGTGTGTGGGAGGGGGGGGGGGGTGTGTAAAAAAAGGGGAGAAGGGGGGGGGGTTCTCACCTAAGACGAGATTTAAAAATTAAAATAAAGACCCCTGCCCTTACTGACAATGGCGTGAGACAGTTTTTTTTTTGTTTGTTTGTTTACGTTGTCCCGTTTGGGAACCTACTATAAAACGGTCATGGACTGACTGACTTTGTGCAATGGTTTTAGTTATGCCTGTCATAGTTATTGTTTGTAACTGCTCTGTTTTCCAGCGAACAGGCTCTGTCATGGCGACATAAATAACCTCCACCCAACAGGACAGCGCAACGGAGGTAAGAGGGATGGGTTGTTCTTGGTTAACTCTTTCATTCACAGGGTGACCACACGTCCCGTTTTCACCGCGACAGTCCCGTTTTTCAGGAGTGTTCCGGCCGATCTTTCGGTACTCAGAAATTGTCACGGCTTCAGTTCACGTTTCCCTGTCCATCTGTTCACTGCATTTCCTTCATACTTGTTCAGACTCTTCTACGTCGGAGGGGTGTCACGTTGTCGTGCCTCTAGTTACACCAGCGCTGATGTTTTATATTCTCTACTACACGACGACACAGCTTTTAACAACTCCAGAACATCTACCCTACCCACAGCCGGAGCCTAGGTCACACGAGAGATTCTTTTCGAAGAAAAGAGTCCATCCTGACACCCCTTTGACCTAAATCAGACTGAGAAAGTGTAGATGGGCCTTGACACGTGAACAGGCCCTTGTCAAATTTCAACTCCCACCCTCCCCCTTTTCCCCCACACGCACACACAACATAATAAGGAAATGAGCTCTAGACTGGAACATACTCTTATAGCTAAATATGTAGACCGTATTAGATTTGATTGTTTTTAGGTACTTTTTATTCATAAAATGCGGTATTGGACATTCTGATTGTAGCAAGTTCCTCCTCCCAGTGCAGTTAAAAAGAGAATATTGTTTCATTCATTTCTTGGTGAGAACGGTTCGTGTTTTAATGGAACTGTCGAGCGAGTTATTAACCCTTCCCTCGCCAGTGACCTAGGAAGAAAAGGTCTGTGGTTAAACTGACTTGCTTGGGATGTCCCGTTTTCAGCTCCAAATATTAATAGAATCTTCAGTTTTCAGCTCAATACATTATGGTAAGCAATTGTTTCAGTACCAGGCAACGTCCTCTATGTTGCCATTTTGAAAATAACATAATACTTCAGTTGTATTCTATCACATACAGTTGTTATGTTAACTCTACGTATCTAAATTAGTAACCTGACTGCTTCTGTCTGATGACTTCTGTGTTTAACCCCCGAGACGTAAGTATTTACTGCTCTTAAACGTCAAACCCTGGAATAGAAGGGGTTAGCTTAAAAACTTCATGAGACTGACAGAAGTTAACCGACCCGTCACAGGAAGTGAGGAGGGGGCGGGGCTAAAAAGGGAGGGGGGGGGAGGGTTGGTTGACTGTATTACCCACACCCATACCAAATTCAAATGTAGTAGAACCGAGACGACAGTAAGAAGAGGCAGAAGGAAGCGATAAGGATGGATGAAGAGGAGGATCAGAAGGGGACGAGTACAAAGACTAGCATTAGAGGATGTAGAAACAGGAGGAGGAAGAGGAGTAGTAGTAGAAGAAGAAGAAGAAGAAGAAGAAGAAGAAGAAGAAGAAGAAGAAGAAGAAGAAGAAGAAGAAGAAGAAGAAGAAGAAGAAGCAGAAGAAGAAGCAGAAGAAGAAATAATAATAAAAATAACAGTAATAATAATAAAAATAATAATAATAAGAAGAAGAAGATGAAGAAGAAGAAAAAAAGAAGAAGAAGGAAGAGGAGAAGACGAAGATTACAAAAGTAATATAATAATAATGATAATTATTATTATAATAATATTAATAATAATAATAATAAAATTAATGGGACGAAAAAAAAAGAGAATACAAAAAAGAACAATAAGAAGATTATGATAAAGAAGAGAGGGAAGATAGCGATGTTAAAAAAATGAATGAAGCAAAGAAGAAGGATAAGAGTGAGAAATGGAGGAGGAGGAGGAAAGAATTACCATCTCTGTAAGGCTGCATAGCAGAGCACCCCTCCCCCCCCCCCCCCATTTTTTTTTCACCGCTCATTCTAAGGGCCGGAAAGTCACAGCCGCCGAGAGACCAATTAGCTAAATAAAGCACGTGTATTTGACTCTCGCTTGTGTATGACTTGTTTGTTTTTCCAGGTGTTGCTGCTTCCAACGCAGATGCACAGCATGATCTCCCATATTTGGAACAGCACAGATCCTGCTACCAAGCGTCGGCTGACAAACATTGTGAGTAACCATCTTCACCATTTCCCATCATCATCACCATCGTTATCATCGTCTTCAACATCGCATTACCACCAGCATCATCATTACCACCACCACCAGCAGCATCAGTATCACCACCACCATCAGCATCATTATCATCATCACTATAATAGCCACCATCAGGCTTACAACACATGTATCATCACTTCTAGCATTCTTACCCTTATCAGTATCATCGGACGAGGAAATGCATTCTGCAGACTTAGTGTTATGGAAAAGCAAGCTAACCAGGCAATAAGCCTTAAATGGCAGCTGGTCTATGAAGGAGTCTCAGAAGCTCTAATCCTACAGCTTCTGCAGCATGCTTTGTTTCAAATGTATGGGCGTTGTCTTTCCTTTGCAGCTAACAAGCCAGGCTGACGTCATATAGAGTGGCAAAACATGGTCTTTACCATACTGCGAGGCTTGGTGCTTTTTCCATGCCTTTTGGTAGTCATTATTATCCTCAAACTTCTGTCCCGTGTGCTTTCAATCAACTCTAACACAGATGATCTTCCATGCCATGTTGTCAAATTGTCTAGTATATTTTCTCTCAGTCTCCCTTTGCCTCTCCTGCACTCCAACTTTCCTACCGTCACGATGTGCTTAAGTTTTCTGCACCTCATCAAATGACCAATGAATGTAGATTGTCTTTTTCTTATGTTGGTAAGCGAGTTCTGTTGGTGAGTCAGTTACTTTCACAATATCCTCCCTCTGCCTCTCCTGCCCTCCAACTTTCCTACCGTCACGATGTGCTTAAGTTTTCTGCACCTCATCAAATGACCAATGAATGTAGATTGTCTATTTCTTATGTTGGTAAGCGAGTTCTGTTGGTGAGTCAGTTACTTTCACAATATCCTCCCTCTGCCTCTCCTGCCCTCCAACTTTCCTACCGTCACGATGTGCTTAAGTTTTCTGCACCTCATCAAATGACCAACGAATGTAGATTGTCTATTTCTTATGTTGGTAAGCGAGTTCTGTTGGTGAGTCAGTTACTTTCACAATATCCTCCCTCTGCCTCTCCTGCCCTCCAACTTTCCTACCGTCACGATGTGCTTAAGTTTTCTGCACCTCATCAAATGACCAACGAATGTAGATTGTCTATTTCTTATGTTGGTAAGCGAGTTCTGTTGGTGAGTCAGTTACTTTCACAATATCCTCCCTCTGCCTCTCCTGCCCTCCAACTTTCCTACCGTCACGATGTGCTTAAGTTTTCTGCACCTCATCAAATGACCAACGAATGTAGATTGTCTATTTCTTATGTTGGTAAGCGAGTTCTGTTGGTGAGTCAGTTACTTTCACAATATCCTCCCTCTGCCTCTCCTGCCCTCCAACTTTCCTACCGTCACGATGTGCTTAAGTTTTCTGCACCTCATCAAATGACCAATGAATGTAGATTGTCTATTTCTTATGTTGGTAAGCGAGTTCTGTTGGTGAGTCAGTTCCTTTCACAATATCCTAATAACTCTTTGTATCTGTTCAGGATATTCTTAGCATTCGCTTTATGCTAAGGAGAGAAACAAATTATTTCTGGCCGTTGGCGGTGGCCCAAAGAAAACAATTTTTGTTGTTATTGTTCATGTAAACATGTCCCTTCACTTTGTTTAATAAATCAAAACATTGTTAACACAAATCCGTAGGGAGCGAAATCATGTTCATGTCAAACAATTTCTGCAAACCCATAAATAAGAATAAAATATATATATATATATGTCCGCTGGGTCCGTGCGTGTGTGAAGTTTTTCCCCCTCCTGGCTGCTATCCCCCCCCCCACCCATCCACCAACACACACCCCTACCCACCCACACACTAACCCACCCACACACCCACCCCCAACACACACACACACACACAAAATGACGAACAGAGATCAGAAAATCTGTCTGGATGGCAGACTAAGAGAATCTGAAGATTTGACACTCCAAGAGTAACACAGACTGCTGGTGGCAGAAGAATAGGACCTGAACATTTGACACCCTAAGATCAAAACAGTCTGTTAGGCAACCAACAGGACAAGGTCAAGTACCCCGTTCAACCTCAAAGAAAGTCCACCGTGTATCCTGCAGTCAGGTACGTGCAATGACGCCCTGCAGAGACTAAAACTTTCTTCATGTTAAACGAATGTTCTTATAAAGCGAATCTTTGATAATGAGGTCTCTTGTGGACGAAATATGTCACTCCTCACTTTTTTTAAATTTCTTTAGATAATTCTCGTCATCATTCCCCGACTCTTTACAACAGTGGTCTCAAACCATTTTCAGATAACGACCCACTTGTGTATACCCTAACCACTCCCCCCCCCCCTTTCCCCCTTTTCTACGTAAAAAATATGATAAAATAGATGAGGACAAAAAGAAAGATCACAAGTACTGATAACAAAAACTTATTAAAAAAAAAAAAAAACCTCATGATTCAAAGTGCCAAATAATAAGAGAAATCAGCAATTAGAAATTTAGTGTCCAAATAATAATTTGATGGTTGGCACTGTTTTATCTTGATGATATCTGCTATTTTTGGTCTATTATTAAACAAGACACAACAGGGATCACCCTCAACATCAAGCTGCCAGTGTTGCTTTGTTTCCGAATTATTACAAGTACAAATGCACCCAGTTTTAACATTGCCTGACCACCCCCCCCCCCCCCACTTTCTACCCGAAACTTCCTTATGTCCCCCTAGGCAGTCCCACCCCCTTCCCTCACTTGAAACTTTCTCATGTCTCCCTACGCACCCCTTAACATTGAAACTTCCTCATGTCCCCCTAGGCACCATTTTCCTCTTGAAACTTCCTCATTTCCGTTTAGGCACCCCTCTTTTGAAACTTCCTCATTTCCGTTTAGGCACCCTCTCTTGAAACTTCCTCATTTCCGTTTAGGCACCCCTCTCTTGAAACTTCCTCATTTCCGTTTAGGCACACCTCTCTTGAAACTTCCTCATTTCCGTTTAGGCACCCCTCTCTTCAAACTTCCTCATTTCCGTTTAGGCACCCCTCTCTTGAAACCTCCTCATGTCCCCCTAGGCAACCCCCACCCCCTTGAAACTTTCTCATGTCCCCCTAGGCAACCCCCACCCCCCTTGAAACTTTCTCATGTCCTCCTAGGCACCTCCCGCCACCCCCCTTGAAACTTTCTCATGTCCTCCTAGGCACCTCCCCCACCCCCCTTCCTTAAAATTTCCTCATGTTCCCCCAAGGCACACCCTCCCCATTCAAACTTTCGCATGTCTTCTCAAACATAGTTTCCATGTAAAACGATCTTTACCTTCGAGAAATTCTATAACATTATTTCCATGTAAAACGATCTTTACCTTCGAGAAATTCTATAACATTATTTCCATGTAAAACGATCTTTACCTTCGAGAAATTCTATAACATTTTTTCCATGTAAAACGATCTTTACCTTCGAGAAATTATTAACATTATTTCCATGTAAAACGATCTTTACCTTCGAGAAATTCTATAACATTATTTCCATGTAAAACGATCTTTACCTTCGAGAAATTCTATAACATTATTTCCATGTAAAACGATCTTTACCTTCGAGAAATTCTATAACATTATTTCCATGTAAAACGACCTTTACCTTCGAGAAATTCTATAACATTATTTCCATGTAAAACGGTCTTTACCTTCGAGAAATTCTATAACATTATTTCCATGTAAAACGATCTTTACCTTCGAGAAATTCTGTAACATTATTTCCATGTAAAACGATCTTTACCTTCGAGAAATTCTATAACATTATTTCCATGTAAAACGGTCTTTACCTTCGAGAAATTCTCCAACATATCTACATCATTAATAGTCTAGGTGTCTGAATGTAAAGAAACTCAGTCAGGTGCCGTGTCCATAATGAAAGTTTGTTGAAAAGATCTTCAGCACTCTTTGTCTCTTTGTAGTATATTCTCTCAGATTGATGTTCGTCCATCTATTTATACTGTCCTCCCACTTTTATCATTGTCTAGCTCTAGCTCTCTGGCCTTTTACTTTTCACTCTAGTATGATTCGCAAATTAGTGTTATGTCTTATTATGTGGCCGAGATGTTTCAGCTGTCTGTTTTTAAATTCTGTTTAATCCTAAGTATTACACGAAGTAACCTGCAGACAAGCCGGACGAGACCGTATTAACATTAAAAAAAATTTTTTTTTTTTAATCAAGTGAAAATACAAAGAATTGTGAAGAGAACAGACCAACAGTAAACATCCATAAGACCCCATCAGCAGACTCAACAGAAAGCAACATACAAAAATGTTCTTGTCTACGAACAGGACATCGCGTGCTCAACTACCACATGCATAAAATAAATGTAATAGAACGGAAAAGCCCTAAGTACCAAGAAAAGAAAAAAAAAAGAAATATAGTTCGTTAGGCGGGGACTAGAAACATAAACACTCTAATCAAACAAGAAATCTTCTGTGTACAGTCTAGATCAGCCAAGCAATACATAATAAACTAGGCACACTAACTACAAGTCATAATCTAAATGAAAAACAACTGGAACTATGATTACTACATTGAACATCTGTTTATTTCACTTAATATAAAATCAGTGTGGTCCACAAATAACAACTTTAACAACAACCAACGTGCTCGAACAGAATCTAAAATGATTATCAGGTAACAAGGAAATATGATAATGACACCAAACGCTCAGCGAGATTACCTCAACAATGACAAAAGCCGAAACATATTAAACATGTACGTTAAGATTCAATATGCCAACAAATCACCTATAGCGACCTGTCATCAAACTATCTACTAGCGAGGATAAACAATGGAAATAAAATCTACCACCACGTAACCAATTAAAACGTACCGTGAGACCAGCGAAGGAAATCAGTCAGACAATCGGTCTTCCCCTGCAGTCACCCGTACCTAAGCTGGCTGCCCAATGTAAAAAGCGCAACAACTAGGTCGGTGTTCTGCAGGGTCGGTCCGGAAGCCAAAAAGAAGGCAAATACTGAGTCAGTTCGCCTTCTTATACCCAGTGGCCAGACTTTTCCCCAGTTTACCGTCTAAAACTATAAGCTGTTCCTGTGGCCTCTTGGTCATTTTTAAACCATATTAAATCAAAATCGTTGAGCTGCTGAACAGTAGTCTTTGTTGTTTTCGAGCCTATCACTTTAAGACTGTACAGTTTCTACAGTGTGCCTGTCAGACAGGACCACAAACATCTGAGCTCATTCTACAGTTATGCCCACTCTACCAACAGCTACGAAAAGACACCTAGCCTCAAGAGCAAAGTGCGCAGAGCAAGCTGAGAACCATGAAGGACCTGCAGCTGACATGCGAATTAATAGTGGACGCCCACTTGACGGTTTGACATGAGTAGACGAAACCGAACGCAAAGAATAAGAAGAAGAAACAAAAATGGTGTCCCATGTAGGGATGGAAATTCTTATTTTTGACACAGCCGACCTGTTCTTTAAAAAAATAATTTTACACCCACATGGTTTCGAAAGACAGAAGTTCTAGCCAATAAGCTAGTGTCTTAGCGCTACCCTACCGCGGCTCCCTAGATGTTGTTAGCAATGATTATGTGGCCGTAGATGACGATGATGACATTAGTGATGAAAATGTTAATAATCACATTAATAACCATGTTGAACTTATTGATGATGATGATGAATTCAGGTATCCAAGCTTCTGTAATTGCTGCTATCGCCAGCAGAGAGTCCAGAGGCGGATCCCTTCTTACCAGCACAGGAGGTTACGGGGACAACCATAATGCATGGGGTATTATGCAGGTGGGTGGTTCTCATGTAGTTCTTCCCTCATTCTGACCTCCTTTTACAATATTGCGCGCTCGCACACACACACACACACGCACACGCACACGCACGCACACACACACACACACACACACGTCTCATCTACAACTTTCACTACTTTTGCCGCTGCTGCTGGCTGCCGTTGATGTTGCTGCCGCTGCTGCTAAAACTACTAATGCTATTTCTACTTCTGCTGCTGCTGCTACTGCTCCTACTACTACTAATACTATCACTACCACCACCACCAGTGCTACTTGTGCTACAACAACAACAACATCTACTACTACTACTACTACTACTACTACTACTACTACTACTACTACTAAGTTAATTATTTTACATCAATACAGTTGTAGATTGTCTACCTCAGTTTTATATACTACAACTGTCTTTCTCCTACATAGTTAATTATTTTACATCAGCCTTTTTTCTGTCCGAAAGAGAGTACTGAAATGTTATGTGTGGAACCTATATTGCTGTGTGGTAGTGAATCATGAGATTCAATTGCACAAATAAGAAAGAACTTGGAGGCGACAGAGATTTTGTTCCTCAGACGAATATTAAGAATCCCCTTCACTGCCGAAATAACAAACAAGGATTGCTTGAAAGCAACTAATGAATCAATATTACAGCTACAAGGAAAAGACAAGCACTGTTTTTAGTCATGTGATAAGTGTAGAGGCTCTGGAGAACATTGTGATGACCAGGAAGATTAACGATAGAAGAGGGAGGGGCAGACCACGAGAAGATGACGGGTGGACTGCGACGGGACTAGGAGGAATGTCATCTGTGGAAATGATCCATAGGACAATGGGACGAGATCTGTGGAGATGCAGGAATGTCTAAGCCAGTCAACAAGGCAGGTGGTGACAAAGATGATGAGCCTGTATTTAATATAATCTGCCTTTCATTTATATTTTTTTAGCGTCTCAATCACACTTCTTTACATTTTATGCCATTATGTACCTTAACAATTTTGCTTAATGTGTACCTTAATTTCCTATTCATAATTGTATTCATTTAATGTCTTAGTCTTTAATTCTAGTATGCTAGCGGGAAGAAGAAAACAAGGGAAATAAGAAGAAGGTGAGATAAGGGGAAACAAGTGGTTGTTGAGACACAATAAAAACAGGAAAGTATAGGAAAAAAAAAAAAAAACAAGGTTTTTTCTGTGCTGCAGCCATGAAATGAGAGTAAAACCATGGTAAAGAATATTTAAATAATTGTTTTACACAACTACAACAACTAGAAACAAGACTGAAACCAGTGATAGAACCACAGCTGGCAGAAGAAAAGATGGGATTTAGGAGAAATAGAAGCTGCACAGATGCAATCTTCACACTTAAGCAGTTAATAGAAAACAACATTTAATACAATAACTTATTTGTGGCATTCGTAGACCAGGAGAAGGCATTTGACAGAGTCGACAGACAATTATTATGGAAAGGAGTGGCAAGATATGGAGTAAGCGAACACCTCATCGAAGTGTGCAAAAGTTTATACAGGGATTGTAGAAGTGTAGTTAGAATAAATCAGGGAACATCTCATCCATTCACAGTAACATCTGGAGTAAGACAGGGTGTGTCTTATCACCACTGCTGTTTATCACCTACATCGACAGTATATGCGAGAATGCCAAGCCCATGAATGAAAATGTTAGTAAGATCAACGAATTACTCTTTGAAGATGACAAGGCCTTGATAGCAGATACAGCCATGAAATTGCAACAACATCTAACATCCATGAATGAAGAATGTAAAACAAATAATATAAGAATCAACACTGAAAAGACAGAAGTAATGTCAATAGGAAAAAAGAAGACAGATCTAGACATAGCAATAGAGTGCAAAGGCATTAAACAGGCATCTGAGTTTAAATATCTGGGAACTACATTTACCGAAGATAGGAAATTGGAAAAAGAAATTAACGTTAGATGCAGTAAAGCAAACCAAGTATTGAGACAGCTAGCCCCACTCTTACAGCATAAGACAATCCCAATCAGCACAAAGAGACATCTTATTCAAAGCATATTTATTCCAACTCTGTGCTACCAGTGCCAGACATGGTCACTCACAACAAACCATAAAAGAAAATTAGTAACCATGGAAATGAGATGTCTGAGAAGGGCTGTAGGAGTGACCATAAGAGATAAGATCAGGAATGAGATCATAAGAGAAAAAGTCGGCACAGAACCAATTCTAAATTACATACGAAGACAGCAAGTGAAATGGTTTGCCCACTTAGAGAGAATGCCTTGTGACACCATACCATACAAAGCATACATGGAAAGAGAAGAAGGACTTAGAGCACGAGGTAGACCAAGAACGATATGGAAGGATAACATCACACGAGGTGCCTATGGTCGAGGCGACCAGAAGAGCTAGAAACAGAACCTTATATCTCCATCGACACATACAGGGGTAAAAGAGGAAGTGAAGAAGAAGAAGAAGAAGACAACTGACTACAACTACACATTACTACATAGGCAAGGCCTAAACAAACCAACTGCACGAACTACGAGTTCTATCTTGAAACAAGCACACAAATATAACTATCACATTCAACATCTGTTTATTTTACCGAAAACAAAACTAGCAGGTTCACAAAAAGAATACATTAATAACCAAAACCGTGTTCACACAGGTCACGCGCTAAGCACCACACCTAACACAGATGCAAATTTGCTTCTAGCGACACAAAATCAAATATCTCCGAGCAATGATACACACTGATCTCTCCATCTACAAGTTTACCTACAGTAGAATTTCAGATCTAACTACACAAGCGTACCACCGCTGTAATCAGTCAGACAATCCCACCCTCTCTCTCTCTCTCTCTCTCTCTCTCTCTCTCTCTCTCTCTCTCTCTCTCTCTCTCTCAGCTCTCTCTCTCTCTCTCTCTCTCTCGCTCTCTCTCTCTCTCGGCTCAGTCTTACGCAATTGCGCTGTGTTGAGACCACATGCGGTCAAGCAACGGCCGATTACATACCTACAGAGAGCGCAGAGCACAGTACAAGACCTGTAAAAAAAAAGACATCGTGACTTCCTGAGCTGACAGTTTTTTCCGCAAGTGCAGTGAAACCGCATTTATAACAGCTGTCATGAGCCTGTTACACTAGGTTTGTGCGAAGTATGGTATGGCCTTGTGACACGAGACTTACACAGTAACAATGAAAGCCATCGTGGGTCACACCGTAAAGTTCTAGTGAAACTGCGACAGGACTAGTAAGCTGACATTAGATTTATTATCACTCCAGAGAATACAATGAGATATAAAAACTCTGCAACAGCTACATTTGTCTATGGTCAAGGCAGCCAGAATAGCAGAAAGCAGAACCTTCTATCTCCCTTGACGCCAAAAGCAGTTTAAAAAATTGTGAAGAAGATTTTAGTTCACAGCTTTGTTAATTTTGTTGTATTAGTATTTCGTTGTCAGTGTTTCTCATTTTGTATCCTAGTGCGACATTAACCACTCTGGCCTCAACTGCCTGAGCTGTGCATGGAACTCCTGCTGCCACATCGAGATGATGACTGCAAATATTTTGATACCCTACATTAACCAGGTAATGCATAGATAAGCGACGTAGCAGGGGGTGTCGGCATGAAAAAAAAAATATGATTCTCCCTACAATGAAATTGTTCTCGGGATTGGAAAAGGAAGGGGTAATCTTTCGATCAGGGGGTGGGGGGGGGGGGGGGGGGGGAGAAATTTCCCTACAACCTTTCTGAGGTGAGAAAACGATTCCTGTGGAAATTTAAAAATTAAAGGAGGGGGGAGGGGATGGGGATGACGCAAATTTTTCCTTACACTTTTCTGGGGTAAAGAGAATGCGGGGTTCAAGGAGCCTGATTCGCCCATGTCATGGTGTTCCTGGATTCTCCAAAAGGTAAAAGTATTTCAAAGATACTTTTTGCGCCAATTGTACATAGGGCATATCATGCTAGACTAACATTTTTATAGACCAATCAGAGTACTCGATGGCTGTTGCTGTCACGATCACGCCAGCAGACTTTACTTTCTAGAACTTTACCTGGTACACATTTTATTTTCCATCTGGAAGCCAAAGGCAAGTTAAAAAAAAAAAATCCTTTTGAACCTCTGACTTTTGAGTCGGCGTGCGAGCGTAATCGCAGTTCAAGATTCATGGACACACCATAGTCACAGAATTTCTGTGCCAAAGAAAACCACCGAGAGAATGTCCACCAGTTCCTCTTATGAAGACGGAAAAAAACATAGGCACATAAGACAGCCTTCAGAAGTTGCGATCATCTAAACCATGGGGTCCCAACTTATGGATCAAGACTTAATTTGAGGTCACGAATGATTTTCTGTAGAGTCGCCGGGCAGTGATGAGATACGCAAATGTGGGGAGGGGGGTTAGGGGGGGGGGGGGACATAATATCAATTCATCAGAAATTAGCCTTTGACTAGTCATCTTGACATTCTTCTCCAATTTTCATATTTTCCTATACAAAGGCATACTTGACCCCTACCAGTTACGATCAAAGATCATCATACCCACACGCTGCATCCCAGCGAGAAGCTTCTGTTTAAAAAATAACTTCAGCACGATACAAGTAAATTACCACTCCTACACCCCCTACCTATGCCACCACAGCCGATCACAAATAAGCAGATAACAAAAGTCAATAGAGAAGAACGTAGGTTGTAGTGTGGCGCTGTTGCCAACGTAAGTCGACAAGCACACCATATTGATATTGCCCCTAAAATACTAGTGGGTCCTGCCCCCTAAAGTGGACAAGAAGATTTGATCACTTGCCTAGACCATCAATATCGACTGGACAAACCGGCCTGGCCCCTCCCCCCACCCCCCCCCCCCCCCCCCACAACAAAAAAAAGCTGTTTGCCTGTCCGACGTCCTTATCATTGGAATCAGAGAGCAGCGACGATGAAGTGCCATTAAAACAAGGAAAAATTGATCAAATGTCTTGGTCTACCAATGACTTGAGACCAGTTGCGCATAACGTTGATAACTCCAGCTCTGTCTGTATTTCTGCTGCTGTAAATCCAAACAGTTCAGTGGGTTTTTTTTTCTTCTCCTTTTTTTCTGCACGTAATCACTGATGACTTTTATCGCAGATGCAACTAACAGGTTCTGCAAGGAAGTATTTGAGAAGACACCTGCTCTTGTCTCAACAAGAGAATATGGTCACGTACTGACATGATGATTAAAACTATAATTACCTTCTGTACTATACAGCAGACAATACATTCATCAGTCAAACACATAGTACAATACTGGTCTTACTTTTGGATGACATAGTAAAATACTCTAGTGTAGTTGGTATCACGCCCCCCTTACAATTGGAAAGGTTTGTGTTCAACCCCTACAATTAATTATGATGATTAAAGTGGGAGCCGTGCTGGATTCATTAATCCAATTTTGGTATAGGTACAGGGAACAGGTTTCCCATTATTTACCCCCCCCCCCTCTCACCGAGATGGCGTGGGCTTCGTCTGTCAAGTTTGTGGAGCTGTGAAACTCTCTACGGAGTTTCTCCTACACATACGAAGGCTAAATTTTCTTTCACTATCTCTAGCGAAGCTAGACAATTAAGTCTAGTTTCTAGTGGTTATTTTCTGTGAAGAAAAAAAGGTTTCTTGTCATCGCCCTCGTACGTCTGACTTATAAACATTCGGGGCAACCACTCACTTTACTAGAGTGAATATTTTAGGTGTATATAGCCCTACCGCAGACATATCTTTCGCGTTTGGAGGGTAGAAAAGTATTGTGCACTGGAGAGACCTTTTTTCAGATTGCTTATCACAGGACAGACAGCAACGGCCGGAAACGTAGCATCGAAATCGTTAAATATACCACATGAATTGTGTCTCTATTTTCCCCCAGACCCGTAGTTGAACATTGTTGGTTTTAAATTCTGCTCATTAAAGTCGCGCGCTAGGTTGTGCCAGACAACGACATCCAAGTTACGTGTCAGGAGCACCAGGGCGCCATGATAATCAAAAGGATCATACTATACTACTAGCAACCGTGCCACAGTACCGCTTTTCAGTTAAACTGGTTTTCAGACCGAGGCAAAATGAAACAGTGTTTTTTTATTTCTTGCTCTCTCTCCACAACATAGGTAAAGAGCAAACTGCCAAGCTTTAGTCAGGATCAGGCGTTACAAGGTAAATACATGTACTTTATATAATAAATAGTTTTTGTTTGTTCGGTGGAGTCAGATGGGCTCAATAGCAAATATTTGATAGGGGCGTTAAGCCAGTCTTTAAATTCTGCTGCAATCGACTGTGCGATAACTACTACGTGTACAGGACCCGGCCATCAACAGTGTCAAAGAAGTCACACCGTTTTAAAACTTGCTACTTCAATCATATACTTGCTAGACTGACAGGTATGCATCACTGCCCGGCTCTCTAGCGTAGTTGGCTAAACCGGATTGCGCGGTGACCGGGTGACGAACTCCTTGTGGTCCAGGTTTACTCCCGGGGGTAGGCAGAAAAGTCACATTTCTCCCAGATTTACGGTATTTACAATGGAATCAAGGCCGAAAGGTTACGAAATCCATAATACCGAGCCTAAGGGTTAACAACTCATGGCTTCTGGATACTAAAACAAACAAACAAACAAACAAACAGACATGCATCACGACGCCGATGAATTTCGACAGGTTTCGCCCCTTTAATGTTCGACAAACGGATAATATCACGCTACCTCTCTTGGAAGCATGTTGTGATAGAGGCGGTATCTATAATCTGTCATTATGACTTGCTGTATTTGTCTGCACGTTGACGTCACGTGCTTAACACTTTTAACACCCTTAACAACAGTATTGACAGGTTTACAGAACAATAGCACGAGAGTGTGATTTCTATCACACTTCTCATGTTTTCATTGGTGGGGGGGGGGGGGAGAATTACGTGACCAACAACCCTCCACCCCTTTTTTAAAACCCACACACACCTACGAATGCACGCACGCACGCCCATCCACCCAAACGCACGCACACACATAAACGCACACAAATACAGAGTTTAAAGTCCTTTTTTAAAGTATTTGTATAAACAAGTACATTTCCTATTTCTTTACATGTACTCATACATGTATATTTGCCATTCGGCACGTTATTATTATAACTACGCACTTAAATAACCCCTACACTCCCTTCAATCCCTACCAACAATAAAATTGTCAGGAAGTTCAGGTCTCTACTTCGAAACGCCCCTGCCCTCTAGTTTTATCTTTTCATCCGCGACCCTGGTTCTAGCTTCATTTTAAAAGACAATTGACATTAAACTGAGGCTATGGAACCTGACCACCCAGTCAAATTGAGCCTCCTAAAATCTGTTAGGATCCGGGTTCCCCCCCCCCCCACCCCTTTGCCCACCACTACCACCACTGCAGTAAAACATGTTTATGTTAAGTTTGCTAAGTGGCCACACTTTAAATGCGTGTGTATATTTTAGTGCATAGAGAGGGGCGTACGACAAGGATGTGTACCGTCACCTGATTTATTTTCATTATACAGTGAATATATAATAATAACTTAACTGGATATGCCCGGAATTGTGGTTGGTGAGCATAATATAAACAATTTGTGTGAGCATAATATAAACAATTTGTTTATTCTGATGACACAGTCTTTATAGCAAAAGTCATACAAAACTACAGAAAATGATAGACATTGTAGGGTTAGAAAGTGGAAAAATGGGCCTTAGTTTGAAGAATGGAAAGACAGAAGTAATGGTGGTATCAAAGAAAAGAATTATTCCAAAATGTGTAATACAAGTCAATGGTGTCATTTTGGGAACTCCGCTAAGACTGGTCGCAAGCCCGGCTGTGAAAGGAGGACTGAAACCAAGAAAAAGGGTCAGGAAATCGCAGATCATTATGGAAGTATGCTGCTTTACAGTGGTGTCCCTACAACGGAGAGAGCCAAATGAGGTGTTGGCTGTATTTTGGCCAGGAACCAACGATGACAAGGGCAAACGAGGTCTCAGATTCAGGCAGGGAACATAATCTTGTCATTACAAACACAAAATTCCCTCCATAAACCGAGGGTTTCTTAGCAAAAGAGAAATTGGCAGGAGGACGAAAATCACTGTTTACCACTATACCTATGTACCAGTCCTGACCTACGGGAGTGAGTCATGGGCAATGACAACAGCCCAAAGAAGCCAGCTTCAGACCTCAGAAATCAGATATCTGAGAAAGGTGGTCCAAATGACAAGAAGGGACAAAGTTCGCAACAAGATAATACGTTAAGATCTTGAAACCCAGGCCTTACAAACTCTAATGGATCAATTACAGTTACGATCGTTTAAACACGTATGCAGAATAAAAGAAAACCGGCCACAATGGCAGGCATAGGAGGCTAAGAACCAAGGAACCAGACCACCAGGATGACATAGGGTTCTCTAGGAAGACAACATCCGACAGTCCCTGGTGGATAGAAGACTGGAATGGAACAAAGCCAAAAAGAAAACTGCTGATAGAGAAGTCAGGCGATCTCTCTGGCAAACCTCTACAGCCCTGGGTAGAAAAGGAGCGACTAAGTAAGTAAGTTAATTTGGGACAAGTACAGACATATCAGTGTCTGGGCACATGGATATCATTAGATAGAAGATGCATCACCGAGATAGGACAAGCAAAAACTGCATTGAAGGTTAGGAAAATAATTCTTGCTTGCTACATACATCCAGTTTTAACATACGACTGTTAGTCCAGGACAATCGTAAGGCAGGCCAAACAATTTCTTGAGGCCTCAGTGATGTGGTTTTTACAGAAGAATGCTCAAAAATGCCTTGGAATGTAAAAAAAAAAAAAAAAAAAACCAAGAGGTTATGAAAGAGGTGCGAGCCCAATGTCAACATCACAGACGTCAGAAGGAGACAATCATCATTTTTCAGCCAAGTTATGTGAAGATGGATGCTATGGAAAGATTTGTGGAAGGAGAGATAGAGGAAGACAACGAAAGAAGATTTTTGACAGTCTTGCGTGACACAGAGGTGTGTCAGCTTACGAACTGATACATGCTGCAGGAGATCGCAGATTGTAATATGGCATGATCGCCCACGCCAGTCGACAAGGCCCCTGATGGATGGATATTCTGTTTAGTTTTATAGTCCCAGCTGATATTGTGTTATTATGTATAGTAAATGGGGAAAATCTACAACCAATTATGAGTATTGTTTTTTGAAAACGTTAAGCACACATCGAAAGCAGCCACTCGAGAAGACAAATTTCCTTCTGACAAAATGTGAGAGAGCATTTTGTACAACAGATGGTTTGCCAGTAGAAGAGAGAGAGAGAGAGAGAGAGAGAGAGAGAGAGAGAGAGAGAGAGAGAGAGAGAGAGAGAGAGAGAGAGAGAGAGACCACAAACACGCACACACACACACACACGAGTTTCTTTTTGAAAGAGTTCAAAACAATATCTGCTACAATTCATGATATTACCATTTGTTTTTCTGTTTAGCACATTACTAAAAGGACATTTTTTATGTAAATGGCGAAACTTCCCTGTGTGGGTTTCGGGGCCCCATTATGGGGAAAACAAAAATAGACCCACTGCCTCCCCAACAAGAAGCATGTCCTAGGAGTCGACTGATTGGAGGCTTCCTTCCAAGTCTGAGTGCATCTGCCCGAGCAGCAAGAAACAACCAGCTGCACACACACACAAAGCCAGTAAAACAGATGAACATGCAAAACTCAGACCCTGGCACAAAGCCAAGGTCCAAACAGACGAACAGCCAGGACTTTCCACGGGGCTTACAGTCGATTAACAAAGAAGAAGAAGAATGGTGAAACTAGAATTTAATGCCCAACTTATGCTGTGTGGTCTCGAGGTATGGAATCTGCCTCGAGGACTGGATGTCCCGGGTTCAAACCCCGGTGAAGGCTGGGATTTTTTTCACGTGGCCTTTTAGTAATTTCCCCTGGTCTCTGGGTAGTAAGACCACACGTCCGTGTGTATTGTTGCGCACATAAAAATATTTTAGCAGTTGAGATTCTTCAGACTCAGGCATGAGTTAGGAGTAGAACTGAGCACTCATGCGTTTACAAACATGTGCCATGTTGCTGACCCATCGACTAATCTAAACTCAACAACAGATTCAGCATATTATTATTATTATGCTCTAAACTAGCATAGACCCCTATGTGTCGACCAACCGGACTCTATACTTAATATGGACAATATTAAGCCAACCAGTTCATTCTCAGGCAGCGGCGGGGGCGTAACGTAAGGCACTTGCAGGCGGCCAGCGAGACTTGGGCTCGAACCTGAGTCCAGTAAGTAAAAGTAAAAGTAAAGATCCCTTTTCACACCTTTAGGCGCATCGGTCATACAAGAAGATCACCCTTATTTCTTTACAGACTAATCGACACTAGGTGAGTAATGTAGTCAGCATTACACTGGCTGTCTTTACTTCCCCAAGACATACATCCCATTTAAGGCCGGGTCGACCTTCGACGCCCCACACCGTGATAAAAATCCACGCAGCCAGCAGTGGGTTTCGATCGCGGTACGTTGGACTTGTTATTATAGATAGGCTGCATGCAGTCGTACGACCTGGGCTGCATGCAGTCGTGGGACCTAGGCTGCTCTCTCTCTCGCGGGACGTAGGTGGGTTGAGGTTAGGGCCAGTTCTAGATGTTTCGGGGTCGTTAAAAGCATCAGAAAGCCGGGAAACCCAGTCTTACCACCCTCTAAAATGTAAGACTGTCATGTGACGTCATCTGGGGTAGAATATTAATAAAGCATCTGATTTTTTTTGGGCATGTGGCCTTAAATTTATAACTTCATTATGATTTTATAAGTTACAATTGCACACATGCTGCTGTTTTCTTAAAGCGGCCAAATTGTTTTGAACTTTGTTTGACTAATAATTTTGGTACCGCATACACACACACACACACACACACACACACACACACACACACATATATTTATATATATATTGTAACTGACACAATTGTTTCACACGTCCAGCGATGTGTGATAATTATTTTGACAGCCTATCCCACATACTATGAAACAAGTGTGTTCATTAACTCAGGGGAGGATGAGCTAGAGATAGCTACCTCAGAGTGAAATGCCAAAAGACATATGCCCCTTGTTGTTTTGAAAAGTTCCCTTAGTCTGTTAACTGTAAGCATGCTGACTGTTAATACTTATTTTTTTTTTAAAATAGAAATCTAACAAGGACATGGTTATTAACAGATTGCATGCCAAAGATTGGCAAAGTTCTTGAACGGACTGTGGCATGTACCTACGTCGAGTTGTCCTCTCAATCCAAGTCGTCCCCTTGTGGGATGCAATTTTTTGTTATTTTGAATCTCCACCCTGGCTGTTGCCGGGGGCCCTAATATAACCTAATCGTTAAATGGGTCTTCAGGGACCTCTCCACGGGTGATCCTCATCCGTATGGTGGCACTTTATGTCTCAGCGTATTAAACGTTCTGCGTGATTTCCTGGTGGGGTAAAACTTACATGCTTACTGTGGCATTACATGCGCGATGAGCAAAAGGTGTGATGAAGAGTCGTTCACTTTACCTACTAACCTTGATGATGATTCGAACCTCCGTTTCCGCATTTAAACAGTGATGTTGTTTTGTACCCTTCCTGTCACTTAGGTGGTGTAGCGGCTTACAACTTTGGCGTCAGCAACGTGCAAAGCTGGTCGGGTCTGGATATCGGCTCCACCGGAAATGACTACAGCAATGACGTCATCGCCAGAGCTAAATACCTATACTCTAAAGGCTGGAACTAATTTTTCTTGCTCAAGATTGAAAAAATAAATGATTCTTAATGTTCTAGATGGATGATTCTTATTATTTCTAGATTAGGAATTAAACTAATTCTTGCTGTTCAAGACTTTTAGATTGAAAATGAACTAAGTTATTATTAAACAGTGTAGAACAACCCATTCTAGTTATTAACGATTAAAACAAATAATTTAGATATAAAAATTTTAAATTCTATGTTTAGAAACTAATTTTTGTTTATGTAGATAGAAAACAAATTATTGAATGGAGATCTAATTATTGTTATTCTTGATTGGACAAACAGTAATTTTGATTTCCCTAAATTTTTATTGTCCAAAAGAGGATATTAATGTCTTTCCCTGTAAACCGAACACGGTTTGTATTTCAAGAGAATAGTGGGGATTTTAATCTGTTATTGTAAAAGAAGTATTTCAATGAAGATAAACGTGTAGCGTCTTAAAATGTTGAGACAAGTTTGAAGTGTTGTGTGACCGCGAGGCTTAAACTGGAGCTGGGAAGAAAAGCAGATGACAGAGAGGGTCGCTGCAGCAATTACAGATGCAACTGGACGTGTTTCAGAAAATGTGTCATTCATTCACAAAAATAAACAGAGGGAGAACCCTTGAGGCCGTTAAATATTATATATTAATAAAGTAACACAAAATGTATTGATCGGCACTCGTAGAAAGAATATGTGGCTGGACATTGAAGACCGTCTAGATCACCAGAGATACAATAGGCGGTCTGATTGCTTGGTCCCTCCCCGCAGCACCAGTCTCTTCGGACCGTAATAATGTGAGCTATGGATTGGGTTATGTTCACGGCACTCCTGACACTTTCATAGGTGCTCAGATCCCCTCCCCCTCTCCCCCCTACTTCCATCAACATATTCATTAGCGTTTCATGGTGATAGGCACCAGTCCTGGCTGAGTGACACAACTTCTTGTGCTTCCTGTGTGCTTCTCATGCCTGACTGTGGCGAATCTCTAGTCACAATTCTCACATTCCTGGCTGTGATGTAGATACGCTGCTCCCTGAATCAATAGATCATTCTACCTCTATAAGGGTATTAACAATGTCTTTGCGATCCATAGGTTGGCTATTTGCATTTAAGGCAGAACCGGCCAGTCTGTCGTCAGCTCTTTCATTATCAATAACACCTGCATCACGTAGGACAAAGATGAATGTAACTCTACCCACAAGGGAGTTTCGCAATGGCTCAGAGTCTGCCTCGACCCGCCGAATCATGATCATAGAATCACCTAGTACAAACACACGTGGGAATAGCTCTGCGATTCCATTCACATGAAAGCTTGTATCACCGCCATTACATCCATCGTCAATCTGCTAATTGTCAAAGAGAAGACGCAACTGTCTTCCTGGACTGTTTTGTTCGCAGAGCGAGCCATGCGCTGAGTTGTTGAGTTGAAAAGCTAATTCAAGAACCAACATCACAGCACTCTGGGAACTTTAGTAAGAGCTCCGTCCTTGTCTTCAGCAGCTAGAGATGAGTTCTAGTACCAATGATGCCAACAGCATTCTAATGATACGTTCGTTTCTGAGCGTCGAGTATCAACCAGACCCCTCGTCTGCATCCCTCTCACCAGACTGTGGTGATCCCATTAGCTCATTTACCTTGTACACGTCCTCCTACAGGGTCTGAACCACATCTTCCTTAACATGAATCAGCATTCCACCAAGTTGTTCAATGCCAGCCAGTCTGTCTGCCTGTTCACTCCAGTATACCCCGGAGAAAAAGCCAGATAATGCTCCTAACCAGTGACCTCCGAAGCAAAGCATGCCAGTCAGCACGAAGCATGCCTGTCCCCACCTTCCTCAACATGCTTTCTGAGTTAGTCACAATCAGGATGTGTGTCTCCAGCCAGCGAGCCATGAATGCCCTGGCAATCTGAAAACAGTGCTGTACAATGGACCCATTTGTGTGAATGAGCACATCTGCCTCATTTAAACTGTCACTGAAAAGCGCGTGGACATTAACAATGACAGCAACAAGATTCTGCTCCCTATAACTATCGATGATACAGGAGAAAGTGTATTTGAGCTTCTGAGTAACAGGCATTTATTCATCGCCAGGGTGAATTTCTGTAAAACTGCAGGCTGCTTGATGTCATCCTCCGCCATAACAAAAAGCCATGATTTACCCCATTTAGTCTGTTGACCTTTTTGTTTTCTTTGCCTAAGAACGTGTCCTGCAAAGGGCGCTTCATATCTAAGCTTATTTTCATGTAAGAACGAGCACTTCGAATCTTGATCCCATGGTTCATGGTTAAAAAGTCAAGAAAGTATATCATTGCTTTACGAACGCTGTCCCTTGTGTAAACTGTTAAAAAAAAAAAAGTATGGTCCCTTTTGCACACCTTTAGGCGTATTGTTAATATAGGACTAGTCTTATGTTTTTATAGACCAATCGGTACTTGGTAGGTGATCTGGTCAGCACCACACCAGCCACCTTTGCTTTTCAGGACTTCACCTGGTACCCACTCAAGGCTGGGTCGACCTGGGAGTCAAGGTCATTTCAAAAAAAAAAAAAAAAAGACGTCTGGCTCCGTCAGGATATGAATCCACGACCTTCAGATCCGCAGGCGGGCGTCTAGCCGCCAAGGCCACTGCGACTCCCTGTCTGTTGTGTAACCAAGAATAAGGTAGATGGTTTCGTTTTGTGCTGTTCTGACTCTTCCATTTTGAATGCTGCTGATAGAATAGCTAGAACATATATCGATGGTAGAAAGAACCAGTTTTAGAACAGACCAAATAGTCTCTACTTAATGTTGACAGCGGTCAGGAACATCAATTCTGACAGACCGCAATAATCGACAGATTGCTGCATCTGTATTGAAATTGGGATAAGAATCTAACAATCAGCCAGGTTCTGCCTCCACAGTGAAGTTTAGCTAAAATAGTTCAACAAAATTGTTTGACTTTCGTCTTGGTGGTAGACTCGCTCAAACTGCTGTATGGCATTGTGACTAACAGGGCATTGTGACTAATACTGCCATTATGACTAACACAACATTTTGACTAACACTGTATTATGACTAATACTGCAAATATGACTGATATTGCCATTATGACTAATACTTCGATTATGACTACTACTGCAGTTATGACTAACACGGCATTATGATTAACATGGCATGGTGACTAACACAGCCATTATGACTAACACAGCATTGTGACTAACACGGTATTATGATTAATACAGCCATTGTGACTGACACTGCCATTATGATTTACACGGCATTGTGACACATACTGCCATTTTGTCATGTGGCAGAGCGCCATTGTGTATAAAAAGGCTAACGCACCCAGAACCTGGCGCACTTTGGCTTCCAGACTGAACCTGCGGTCGCTCAGGGGCAGGAAATCCACCCAAATGTTTTGGATCCGTACATTGGGCTAAACAGCGTGGGTACGGGCGATTGCGGGTGATGACTGGTTGCCTAGTTCATTTCATAGCGGTGGTATGTTTACATAGTTACATCTGAATTTTCCTCTAGTAGGTAATCTATGTGGGTAGATACATCAGTGTGTATCCTCGCTCAGAGATAGTTTGATTGCAGGTAGCTATACGCGATTTACTGGTCTGGTGACATATTGAAGCTTAACGTGCAGGATAATTTGTTTCGGTTTTCGCCATTGTGGAGGAAATGATTCTGAGCGTACGTGGTCATTATCATACTTCCTTGTTAGCTGGAGATGATTAGCACTTTAGATTCTGGTTGTGCACGTTGGTTGTTGTTAATGTATTATCTGTGAAGTATACGCTAATTTTGTGTTCAGAAAAATAAACAGCTGTTTAACGTGATGATTATAATTAATTTGCTTGATTCAATTTAGGATCTTTAGTTCGTGCACGTGGTTCAGTTAGGTGTGTGTTAGTGTGTGTAACAGAGAGTTGCTCAGATTTCCCTTGTCTAGGTCTCGTTGGGATATTCTAGGACCCCGGCAGAGAAGAAACCCCTGACTTTTCTGTACTTTTCCTGTTTTTGCTGTTCAGCGGGGAACTCTTACTTTTTGTCCTAATTACAATCTTTTTTTATCTCGACCTGCCACCGTGTTTTTTCCGCCGACACAACGAGAACATTAAGGAGGGACGAGGAAAAAAAAGGGGAGGGGGGATTCAGCCACCTTTAAAATTTTCCGGCACCACTGATTCCAATACATTTACTGCATTCCTTTTCTTTCCAAAACTTACACTTACTAAGCAAACACACTTTCAGTTGCATTACTGTTTACTTTAATAATGAATTACAGATGGTAATGAGTATGATGATAGTAATAAGTGGTCAGTTCCAGCCGTGTGAATGTAAGTACTTGGCTCTGGCGATGACGTCATTGCTGTAGTCGCGTCCGGTAGTGGCAGCGTCAACACCCGCCCAGGAGTTGACATTGCTGGGACCTTGGTTGTAGGCAGCCACTCCACCTGTGGAAGGTTAGGACCATCAGAAAGTTTTAGGTTTTTGGTGTTGTTTGAGTAGTTGTAGGTTTAGGATGTAGGTTAGGACCACCAGAAAATGTTAGATTTTTTGTGTTGTTTGAGTAGTTGTAGGTTTAGGATGTAGGTTAGGACCATCAGAAAGTGATAGGTTTTTGGTTTTGTTTGAGTAGTTGTAGATTTAGGATGTAAGTTAGGACCACCAAAAAATGTTAGATTTTTTGTGTTGTTTGAGTAGTTATAGGTTTAGGATGTAGGTTAGGACCATCAGAAAGTGATAGGTTTTTGGTGTTGTTTGAGCAGTTGTAGATTTAGGATGTAAGTTAGGACCACCAAAAAATGTTAGATTTTTTGTGTTGTTTGAGTAGTTGTAGGTTAAGGATGTAGGTTAGGACCACCAGAAAGTGTTAGGTTTTTGGTGTTGTTTGAGTAGTTGTTGGTTTAGGATGTGCGTTACGACCATGAGAAAGTGTTTTTTGTGTCATGGTAGCAGTTGCAGATTTAGAATGTAGGTTAGGACCATCAGAAGATGTTAGGTTTTTGGTTTCATGTGAGTAAGTTGTAGTTTTAGGGATGTAGAGTCATCAGAAAGTGTCGACATTTTTGTTTTATTAAAATACATTTTAGAAAATTTGATTGTTGACATGCCCATCTTTTCTTTCTTCTGATTGTTGAGAAGAAGAAGAAGAAGAAGAAGAAGAAGAAGAAGAAGAAGAAGAAGAAGAAGAAGAAGAAGAAGAAGAAGAAGAAGAAGAAGAAGAAGAAGAAGAAGAAGAAAAAGAATATGAAGAAAAAGAAGAAAAAGAAGAAAAAGATCAGGGGCCCCATTGTTGGGAAAACAAGAATAGACCCACTGCCTCCCCAAAAGCATGTCGAAAGAGTCGACTAATTGGGGAGCTTCCTTTGAAGTCGCAATGCATCTGCCGGACAGGCAAGAAACCAACAGTCTCTATTCAAGAGAATGAGATCTGTGAAACTGATGCACACACAACACTCAGGTTCTGGAGCAGGACTGCAGTTCAGTAGTGGACGAGCAACCAGCACTTTCCGCTAGAGTATAGAGCTGGTGAACGCGAAGAAGAAGAAGAAGAAGAAGAAGAAGAAGAAGAAGAAGAAGAAGAAGAAAAAGAGGAAGAGAAAGAAGAAGAAGAAGAAGAAGAAGAAGAAGAAGAAGAAGAAGAAGAAGAAGAAGAAGAAGAAGAAGAAGAAGAAGAGGAAGAAGACGTAAAAACAGATAATAATACAGTACACATTATATATTGTAGCGATGGATGTTTCATAAAACCGTTACATTTACATCATTTGAAACTTAGGATTTCATTGATAAAAATGTGTAATGCACAATTATGTGAATACGATTTTAAAACCTACCTTGCAGGGCCTGATCTTGGCTCCAACTAGGAAATTTATTGTGGATCTGAGAAAAAGATTTTTTTTGGGTGTGTGTTAATAATAACAACAACTCGAAAAAGAAGAAAAAATACGTTTCGGAGAAGAAGAAGAAGAAATAACAAATAGAGGTTAATAGAAAAAAAAGTAAAAAAATAAAAAGGAAGAAGAAGAAGAAGAAGTAATAGTATTATTGTTATTGTTATTATTATTATTATTATTATTATTATTAATAGTAGTAGTAGCAGCAGCAGCAGCAGCAGCAAAAACAGCACTGGTAGTAGATGTGTAGTAACATTATCAGCTGCAGGATTAGAAAAAGGAGAAGAAGAAGAATCAGCGGTAAGAAGAGAAACAGAATTTAAAGAAAAAATACTACAGAAAATATATTGTTACAGTTTCAATTTTTAGCAAAGTAAGATTTCAGTAAGAAGTAACAGACTAAAACAAAAATGCTAAACGGAGGCTAAAGAGGCAACAATTATAACAATCAGAGTTAAAGAAAATATTATTGCACCGGACCCGGTCGCCCCCTCTCTCTCTTCGCCCCCCCCCCCCCCTCTCTCTCTCTCTCTCTCTCTCTCTCTCTCTCTCTCTCTCTCTCTCTCTCTCTCTCTCTCTCTCTCTCGCTGCTGAACAGATAGACGCCTGTCAAGAGCATATAAAGCACGAATCCTATAACTCCAGCGAAGATCCTGAACTCATAGACCAAAAGAAGCATTAGTGAAACCAATACACGATCTCCAGAACGCACGGCATACGGCGTTCACCTCTGTAGCAACAGACTATAAAACAATCGACGAAATCAGCATGTCTGGAACCGTTAGATTCTTTGTGTTCGCGTCATCACCGTCTCTAAGTTGGAGTACCTAGTCAGCGTGTTATGTTTAGAAGTGCTAAATACTTCATCAAATGTGAGTGTATAGTTCAACGGGGTGGGGGTGAGGGAAAAGACGCGCACAGATACAAAGGAACATTTCGACTAAGGTCTTTATTAAAGGAGTACTAAATACTACACAAACTGTATCAGGAGAAGGTAAAGGACAAGAAAGCATAGTTTATGATGTGGAAACCTCAACGGACAAGACAACAGAGCTTCTTAACTGGAAAACTGAATGGAAAAGACAACAGAGCTTCTATGCTTGAAAACTGAACGGTTGTGTACCGACTGGTGATAAATTGATTGATGCATTACAGGATGGATGTTGTAAAGGTCCACTCGGAGAAAATGATCAGAACAGAGGCATAAACAGACCATCACGGTCTGACTAGAAACATGTAGTGAGGAGTGACAAGAGATCTGACCGACGCTCGACATTCCAGGCAAAGACGAGGCAGACATACTATTAACATGTTATTAATGACATCGGAATTGGAACTATCTAAACGCTACTGACAATGAGGATGGAGTGTTTATGGGAATGTCGCGGGTGTTAAGATGTCGATTCTCCTCTGCAGAAGCGGCACACATACTGCATTTTGATTTAGCTGCAGACCCAATTTGTTACGTTTTTGCTTGAAAAGTTACCTGGTTGATGAAAGGGACCAAGGTCTGACTGGTCAACATCTCAATGTGGCAGCACGAATCCCAGGGACATTGTTTACAGTTCAAACCTGAGTACCTCAAGTCGCACTGTGGGAGATCGAACATTACATGCGATTAAATAATACTTGATTAACTTGCAATTGTGGGGAAATGCAAAAGTTATTCTCACAGTATCATCAAACTCAACGAGGACAAATAGAAAGTAATTGTAGGAGATAAAGTATAACACTCAATAACTACCATCACAGTATGTGAGATTAAACAAAAGATTCTATTAACTAAAGTTTTTAACAGCTACAGCCTCACTTCAGGAAATTAAACACAACATTAAAAAAAACGACCACCGCACTAGTGGAAATAAATTACATCATTAAAATCGTTGCAGCCGCATTGTGGGAGATTAAAAATAACATTCAACAAACTGCGGCCACAATGGATTGCAAACAATAACAGCAGAACGCCTGGTAAAGAAACGACTGGGTGGGGTTTCATTGTAAAGGTAACAAAACCATTTTGAAAACAGAAAACCTGGTGTATAGCGTCACAGCAACCAGTATAAGAATGGAAGTGGAGGCTTCAAAGGCAGTTTTCCGATGGTCTGAGAACAGAACAGCCAAACATGTCATAACTCTAACAGACTCACAGTGCATCCTTCGGGGGGGGGGGGGGGGGGGCACCAAGGAACTGTTGTTCTAGGCTTAGAGTGGTTGGTATCGTTTTATAGTAAGATGGGGAGCATTTCAGAGATTTTATATCCAGAATATTGTGGTGTGTTTTGTGCACAAAATGAGCTGATTGATTGGTTGTTGCCGCTCCTCTCAGAGGGTGAGTTACTTTGTGATAAAGCGGGCGTGGTGCAGGCTCTCTGTCGTCAAGTGGACCGGGCAACAGATCAGAGTATCCATACCTAAAAAGACTCGTTCAGCGCGGGAATGATTGGGATGGTAGTGGAGCTTGGCGGAAGGTTCTGGAAGATGTTCAATGCTGGAAAAGGGGGGGGGGGGGGGGTTAATAAATGCACTTTTAATAAGGCTGCAACTGAAACTATTAGCGTATTGACAAAAAAGGAGCACGTGGGTTGGGGGTGCACACATGGAGAAGGAGGAGTGGGTTCAGTTCCCTTGCCAATTGTCTAGGGGGCTTAGACCTTCTTTAAATAACAAGAATAATAACAGTAATCAGAGCAGCCTACCTGCATGATACCCCAGGCATTGTTGTTGTCACCGTAGCCCCCAGTAGCGTAAAGAAGTCTGCCTCCCCGAGACTCTCTGCTAGCGATAGCGGCAAGCAATGAGGCCTGGATACCTGAAGGTATAAAGGTAAATTCGATGCTGGACAGTGCGAGGGACTGGTTACTGGCGATTGACATGCCTGGTCATGAAAAGTACCATGAGTTAATCCGGAAGACTGGCCTGCGACCTGACATAGTTCTCCACTCTGCGAAGAAACGTAATCTCATCTTGATTGAGCTGACCGTGCCGTATGAGTCGCGAATTAACGAAAGCCATATATACAAGCTCGAGCAGTACAGTGACTTAGCGGTTGTTCTGAGGAGAGACGAAGCGTGCACAATAAGAATCTTCGCCGTCGAAGTAGGCGCAAGAGGTCTCGTTTCCACTTCAATGTACAATGTGATTAAACAACTAGGCTTACGAGGAAATGAACGCAAACGGACACTAAAACAACTGGGCGAGGTTGCTGAGAGGGCCTCGACTTGGCTCTGGACACAACGGAACGTCGTGGGGGACGGGCCTCGGTGAGCTGGTCCGGGTGTCTAGTGGAAAAGAATGTCTTATCCCTCACAGTCCATCGTGTCCGAATTGTCTGCCAGTGTCCCTCTGCCACCTGCCCGCAAAGTCCAACGTGTGTCTGGTAAACCAAACGTAAGTTTGCCACTTGGTCGTTTAGGTAAGCTGACTGCTCTAATTATGCTACCGCAACGAGTTCGTATCTCACAGTACCTTTTGCAAAGTCACCAATTCGTCTTGTCCCTGTCCGATAACTTCTGGTAATACGTGTAGCAGGAGACACCAAGCCTGAGCCTCATGAACTCAGGTGGTCCCACTCTCTGAAAATGTCTAGGAGCTCGTGGGCCGAAACATTTGTCAACGAGAGATTACTTCTACTGATGATTGGTAGACTCCTGCTGTATATGCTCCCATGTGGAGTTTCTTCTTACATGTGGGATAGCGTTTAATTATGGTATCATTCTTTACTATCGTATGGCCAATATGGTTATAGCGTCGCAGTCGGTGCTGCAACAGCTGTTGTCGTCATTATCATCGTCGTCAGCATCATCATTACGATCATTGCCACAATCCATCATCATCATCCAGTTTTGCCGCACAAACGCCATGCAGGATAGTTAATTGTCTTTTTCCGTTTTACCCTATGCAGTCTTATCAATATCCTTGATGCAGTCAATCCAAGCACTTGAGGTATGTCACAAACAAATCAGTGTCGTCTCCACGATCATAATTGGCTACAGTCTGCCATTGCTGCAATTAGGGAGGGAACATTTCGAGGTTAGGCCTCCGTCTTTTCCAAAGTGCGATTCTCGACCTACTTTCCGAAAAACCACAAAAGTGGAGTTTAAGTAGTTGCTATTAGGAAGAAGCAGAAAAAAAAAGAGGAAGAAGAAAAAGAAGAAGATGATGATGATGAAGAAGAAGAAGAAGAAGAAGAAGAAGAAGAAGAAGAAGAAGAAGAAGAAGAAGAAGAAGAAGAAGAAGAAGAAGAAGAAGAAGAAGAAGAAGAAGAAGAAGAAGAAGAAGAAGAAGAAGAAGAAGAAGAAGAAGAAAAAGAAGAAGAAGAAGAAGAAAAAGAAGAAGAAGAAGAAATAAAGAAGAAGAAGAAGACGAAGAAGAAGAAGAAGAAGAAGAAGAAGAAGAAGAAGAAGAAGAAGAAGAAGAAGAAGAAGAAGAAGAAGAAGAAGAAGAAGAAGAAGAAGAAGAAGAAGAAGAAGAAGAAGAAGAAGAAGAAGAAGAGAAGAAGAAAGAAGAAGAAGAAGAAGAAGAAGAAGAAGAAGAAGAAGAAGAAGAAGAAGAAGAAGAAGAAGAAGAAGAAGAAGAAGAAGAAGAAGAAAATAAGAAGAAGAAGAAAAAAAAAAAGACGAAGAAGATGAAGAATAAGAAGAAAAAGAAGAAGAAGAAGAAGAGTGAGAGAAAGAAGAAAAATAAACCTCTTATGCTTACAGTTTTTGTCGGCTGAAGCTGCGTAACAGTCTCTATGAGCGTTCAAATCATTCATGTCGTACTGGGCATCGTTGTTGGAAGCCGCTACTCCTGCCTTTCCAGAAGCAAACTTAGGTTAGTTTTGATACCAAAACAATGCCAAAAGATATAGCTAAAATATTGTTAACAACAAAACAAACCACAACACTGGGCTAAATCAAATTCAAGTCATTAAAATCAAACAACTGCCCAACCATGATTAAGAACATCATTATTATGAAAGCGAAGAAGAAGGACGAGGCAGAGGATGAAGAGGAGGAAGAGGAGAAAAAGTTGTAGAAGAAGAAGAAGAAGAAGAAGAAGAAGAAGAAGAAGAAGAAGAAGAAGAAGAAGAAGAAGAAGAAGAAGAAGAAGAAGAAGAAGAAGAAGAAGAAGAAGAAGAAGAAGAAGAAGAAGAAGAAGAAGAAGAAGAGTTTGTTGCCGAGAAGGAAGAGCACGATAATGAGAGGAAGGAAAGGGAAACATCGGAGGAAGATGAAGGTAAAGACAAGGAAACAGGAAGCTGTCAATGAGGCAGAAAAAAAAATGCAAAGGAGATTTAGAACAGACATAAGAACACAGGATAAAAAATTTAAGAAGAAATGATGTGTATGAAAAAAGAAGACACTCATAACATGGAATCTAAAAGTCAAAAAGTACAAACCTCCATTTGCTTGTCCCGAGGGATTCAGATGATCAATGTTTCCGTGACATAATCTGTTGGCTGGGGACACACAAACATCAAACATAAACCCTAGTCAGTGTGTGCGTTCTGACTGAATACATTATTGTGGGATGAAACCACTGAACTGGGATTTAAAATCCTAACGAAAGGAAACGAAACAAAGCACACATAAGAAAAATCTGTGGTTTGCCTCGGAACCTTTCTCAACAGAAACCACAGCAACAAGGGACAGAGTATCCTGGCCACCAGTTCCCACACAGGAAGGTCACCTGAATAAGCTATAGGAAAAGGAATGGTGATATGTAACGAATAAAATAAATTTAGGAACGAAAAGAGTTAAAACATTGGTAGTATCAATAAAACAGGATCGAAAGCAGCACGAATCGTAGCAGTGGTGGAAATAATACTGAATGACGTCAATGGTGTTACTAATAGTATAATGGCAAATATATAATAACAGTAACAGACGTAATGGAAACTTCTTCTTCTTCTTCTTTGCGTTCGGTTTCGTATGCTCAGATCAGACTATCAGGTGGGTTGCCTGTATGAACTCGCATGTCAGCTGCAGGTCCTGCATGGTTTCCCATAGCTTGCTCTGCACACTCTGCTCTTGAGGCCAGGTGTCTTTTCGAAGTTGCAGGTAGAGTGGGCAGGTCTGCAAAATGTGCTGAGGTATTTGGGGTCCTGTTTGACAGGCACACTGGGGAGGGAGGGGGGGGGGGACTGTATAATCTTTATTTTAAACATGTGGTAGTTGAGCCCGCAGTGTCCTGTTCGTAGACGGAAAATTGTTGTATGTTGCTTTCTGTTGAGTCTGCTGATGGGGTCTTGTGGATGTTTACTGTTAGTTTGTTCTCTCCACAATCCCTTGTATTTTCCTTTGATAAATGTTCTGATTTCTGGTAATGACAATGAATGGGCGTGTTGTTTCTCCTTTGTTCCATTTTTTTGCATGTCTGTCTGCTAACTCATTTCCTGGTATGCCGCATTGAGCCGGGATCTACTGGAGAACAATTTGATTGTTTTCTGTGAGTCTGTTTAGCTGACGGGTCAGTTCTCTTTCCATGTTGACTCGCGGATCCCTATGAGTCGCATGGAGGACTGACATGCAGTCACAAAGGAAAACAATTTTACTGTTTTTAATTCTTCTTTCCTTGAGCACTTTGGCTGAATCAAAAATTGCTTACTGCTCGGCTCTGAAGTTTGCTGAGAGTCTTATGGAGGCGCATGACGTTCCTACTGTGGTCCCATCTTGTAGCATGATGACCGATCCAGCTCCTCCATTTTTGTCTGCTCCCTCCAAAGTTCCATCGGTGTAAACGTGTGTCAATTCGGGTTTTGGATAACAGTTGTACACATTAACAAGGGTCTTTGCACGCAGTACTAGGTCACACTCTTCAGCCTTTCTGTCTATGCCTGGAATTGTTGTTGTTACTGTATATTTAGGCTGTAGGTCTATGCTGTATGCCTGGATCATTTCCCATGTTGAAGGATCTTTAGAAAGGATGTCACTGTTTTTTGTGAAGTATGATTTTGATAGATGGTGAAAGCTTTGTCGTTTCAGTCGGTTTTTGGTTAGGTTATTTGCTATTCTGTGCATGGGGTTGTTGTTCATGCGTTTAAATTTTTCTGTTAGGGTAAGCACCTTTTCTTACCTTCGAAGGCTCAAGCTCTCGAGGCGACAGGTTGCCCCCAGCTCATTCATTGGTGTGCTTCTCATACCTCCAATGATGATTCTGAGAACGGTGTTCTGTATTTTATCCAGTTTGTGTAGGTTTGATTTAGCTGCAGTGGAGTATGCTCCCATGCCATACTCCAGTTTTGGTCGTACGTATCCAGTGTATACTTGTACAGTGTTGGCATCCGCACTCCAGCTTGTTCCAGCAAGTTTCTTCAAAAGTCTGAGCCTCAGGGTAGCTTTCCTTTCGGAGTCTTCAATGTGGGTGCCCCAGATTACCCTTTTGTCAAATTTTACTCCCAGATATGTGGGGTTATCCTCTTTTGGAAGGATGTTGCCTTCTAGGTACGAATCAACTTGTTCTGGATTTTCGAAGTTGCAGGTAGAGTGGGCAGGTCTGCAAAATGTGCCGAGGTGTTAAATTTCGAGGGACTTTTCGAGGGATCACTAAAAACGGTTACTAACGCATTTTGGTTTAATACACAAAGATGACTCATTACTTGCCAGATAATCATGTTATATTTAGACTCAGCTGATACTCAGTATTTATACTCAGCCCTGCTAGATGCTGTAGATACTTGGAAAACGAAAAGGAAGCTAAAAAATCGAACTCAGTCTCTTAAAAGTTAGATATATATGTCTGGGGAAAAAAGGGGGGGGGGGGGGAAACTGCGAATAAAACAAGAGTTACTGAAAGAAAAAAGAAAGAGACGGTTAAAACACTTCTACTTAAATATATAACTCTTTAAAAAAAAAACATATTAAAGGAAAATGTGGAAGGCAATTGAGCAAGAGGTAGACAACGATTCAAGTGAAATGATAACATCAAGAGATGTTTGAACAGCAGTCAAAGAGTGTACTTATAAGCGAAGAGTCAGACAGTGTTGAAGATCCATTTCAGCCAAACTTCACTGGAAAAACAGCATCTTTTTTCACTGATTGACTGTAAGACTGATATAAGCTTAACCCGCACTGAAAGAAACGCCCATACCGTAAGTTTTAGACAGAAGTGGATACAGGTCACTCCGAGGTGTGCTCTAAGTTACCTATTGTAACATCAAATGGGCCTGTTGAATTATCAAATGTGCTCTGAGTTACCTGTTGATACATCAAATGGACCTGTTGATACATCAAATGGGCCTCACCGACTCTGCCCCAACATTTTGTTGTGCATCAGAGTTAATATAGAGAATGTCTTACACGGGTGCCCAGATCTTGATAATCAGAAAGACGGAATCTGGCCAGCAAGAGAAACACTTTAAGACAAACTATGGCGAACTGGAAAAAACCCCATGAGCTGCGTCCTGTTTGTAACTAATGACAGGGTAAATGTAAAAGAAATGTTGATCGAGAAAAAATGATGATGATAATAATAGTAAAAGCAACAAGTAAGCAGACGAAGAAGAAGAAGAAGAAGAAGAAGAAGAAGAAGAAGAAGAAGAAGAAGAAGAAGAAGAAGAAGAAGAAGAAGAAGAAGAAGAAGAAAAAGAAGAAGTAGTAGTAGTAGCAGCAGCATCAGAAGTAGTAGTAGTAGTAGTAGTAGTAGTAGTAGTAGTAGTAGTAGTAGTAGTAGTAGTAGTAGTAGTAGTAGTAGTAGTAGTAGTAGTAGTAGTAGTAGTAGTAGAAGAATAAGAAGAGGAAGAAGAAAAAGAAGAATAAGAAGAAGAAGAAGAGAAAGAAGAAGATGAAGAAGAAGCAGCAGCAGCAGCAGCAACAGCTTACCAGCATTGGCGTAAGCCACAAGCACACAGAAAACCACCAGATGCATCGCGACAAGGGGCAGAGTTTGAAGTAACAGGTCAACTCAGATACAAGAAATGATTATTTCGGCAAAAAAATAACATTTTATAATACGACCTTCTTGGTAAAGGTAGAAATATGTTAAAATAAAACAAAACAGTACTGTTTTGTGAAAAAAAAAAATGTTGGGGGGGGGGGGGGGGGGGGGGGGGGGGGGGGGGGGGGGGGGGGGGGGGGGGGGGGAGGGGTGGGGGGGGGGGGTGGGGGGGGGGGGGGGGGGGGGTGAGTGGTATTTGTACCAGCAAATTTTATGGCCTTACTGAATTTGTTTCACTTTCAGGCTGTCAGGTTCAGTCAGAGACACTGATAAGCAGCTCTTGAAAAAATTAATAGTGTATATAATTATGCTGTAGGAGATTTGCCACGTCTAGACATCGTCTCCAGCTATTTAAAGTTAATGAAAATAGTAAAAATTACAATATAATTATTAAACCATAAATGTTTAAAGGAAAAAAAAAAAGGTTTCATCATTCGTGTGCAAATGTAAATTAAAATAAGTAAGATGAGATTCCATTGGAAACATGGAGTCCAGAAAAGACTTGAAAGAGATGAAATAAGATTTAAAAAAAAGCGGACAGTAGCAGCCTTAGATTTAATTAGAAATCAACAAGTGAGATGGTTCGGCCATTTAATTTCGTTGCCAACAGACACTATGCCACGAAGAGCAATGATCTACTAACCAAGTTGATTTCGACAAAGAAAACAACGATGGTTTATGATGGTTCATATGGCCAGTGTTTTGAACCCTCACTCTTTAATTCATTGTGTCTAGTTCACAATATAAACACCTTGGTCGGTCGCTTTCTTGTCAAGGTTTTTTTGTTCTTCAGGATTATTCTAGATATAAAGTTTGTCAGTATGTTCTAATGGCTGTTGATCTGGGTTTTATTTTCCTTCTGGGTGCAGTCTGCATCTGTCTGTTATATATTACTTCCAATTTTTGCTAGATAGTCTGCTCTTTTGAATGTTAAGAAAATGTGCTTCTGAATTTGAAGAAAACAGAAAATAATGTCCACAATAAATACGGCGTATCAACCATGTAATTTAACATAAATCTGTCTGGAAGAGATCAAAAAAGTCAAATTTTGGAAAATTTGGGCTCAACAGGAATGGCAACTGCACAAAAGAAATAGGAAGAAGAAAGAGACTAAACAGCATCAAGAGCTTATGATACAGCACTTAAAAGTGAGTTTAGGTAACGCAAATTTGAGATCATACATCGTCCCCGTGGAAACTTATGAATGTGATCAATAGACTCTTACAAAGTCACTGAAGAAACAAATCGGAGCTTTTGAACTGAAAAAAAGTTACAGAAAAATTATTAGAATACTATGGACCAAGAAAAAGTACAACAGCGATCTACTTGATCTGAGCACCGAGGAGAATTGGCTTATAAACAGCATCCTGTCCCGAAAGCTGATGTATTTGACCATGTCTAATGTTATGGTGCCCTTTAAAAAAATTGTGATAGAGAGTAGCGTTTCTGAAAACTATGCAGATGCAGACTTCTGCGAAGGTAGATGGGATGCATTGGATGTGAAAGCATAAAGGGTTAGGGAAT